GATTTTGACGAAACTTGAAATATAGGTTTATCTCCCAAAGATCTCGTTTTCTGTCGGTATTGACCTTTATCGGATCGTAACTTCATGGAGTATGGCCCGTGGAGTATAGCTTGTGTACACTGTAGAGGTCACAATTTTTATCCGATTTGGTTTAAACTTGAAATTTATGTTTATAACCCACAGATTCGCGCATATCGGACCATAACTTCCTGAATTATGGCCGCTGATTGTACGAAAAATCATATTTTTAGCTTGTGGACCCCATAGAGGTCACAATTTTTATCTGATTTAAAAACTGTAACAATATATCACCGGATGGTTGTTCGAATTTCTTAAAAATCGGACCGAAACTGACAAACAAAATGGCCGCCCCATGTCGCAAATAGTGTTAAAATATTGTGTATCAGGGTTGTAGACCCTCTGGAGGGTCACAATTTTCATCTGATTTTGATGAAACTTGAAATGCATGTTTATAACCCACAGATCTCAGTTCATTTCGATATTCGTGCATATCGGACCATAACGTTCTGAATAATGGCCCCTGATTATACGAAAAATCACGTTTTTAGCTTGTGGAACCCATAGAGGTCACAATTTTTATCTTATTTAAAAAAAAAAATATCACCGTTACAGCCTAAGGATGGTTGAGTTCGAATTTCGTAAAAATTGGACCGAAACTGACGGACAAAATGGCCGTCCCTTGTTCGCAAATAGTGTTACAATATTGTCTATAAGGGTTGTGGACCCTCTGGAGATCACAATATTCATCTGATTTTGATGAAACTTGAAATGCATGTTTATAACCCACCCAAATATCTTGGTTCCTTTCTGTTTTCGTACATATCGAATCATGACTTCCTGAATAATGGCCCCTGATTGTACGAATATAGGGTAAGCTTACGCAAATAGTGTAAACATCTGGTATATTGAAGTTGTGGACCCTCTCTCTAGAGGTCACAATTTTGATCCGATTTGGATGAAACTTGAATTACATGTTTATAACCCAAAGATAATGAAGGTTGAATTCGTATTTTGGGAAAATCGAAATGAAACTGCCAGACAAAAAATTGCCGCTCTTTGTACACAAATTGTGTAGAAATGTGTAATTCGAAGGTTGTGGACCCTGTAGAGGTCACAATTTTTATCTGATTTTGATGAAACTTAACACATATCTTTATATCCCAAAGATCTCTGTCCATTTTGATATTTGCACATTTCAGGCCGTAACTTTCTGGATTATTGCCCCTGATTGTACAAAAAATCATGTTTGTTTTTAGCTTGTTCTCTATCCATCTCTTGCAAAATGTGGGCGTATCCTGCATGGCAGCCGCTGGTTTTATACGCCCACATTTTCATGTGGACGTATATTGTCGTCGCCCCTGTCCACCCGTCCACGATTGTTTGTGAACACTCTACAGGTCACAATTTTTATCTGATTTCAATGAAACTTGAAATATACGTTTATCACCCTACGTTCTCGGTTCCTTTTGATACTGGCATGTATCGGACTGTAACTTCATGGATTATGGCTCCTGATTGTACGAAAAATCACGTTTTTAGCTTGTGAACACTGTAGAGGTGACAAAGTTTATCCGATTTGGTTTAAACTTGAAATGTATGTTTATAACCCGCAGATCTCGGTTACTGTCAATATTCATGCATATCGGACCATAAATTCCTGAATTATGGCCCTGATTGTACGAAAAATCGCGTTTTTAGCTTGTGGACCCAATAGAGCACACAATTTAAAACAAACATTTGGATATATCATCGTTACACCCTAAGGATGGTTGAGTTTGAATTTCGTAAAAATCAGACCAAAACTGACGGACAGAATGGCCGCCCCTCGTTCGCAAATATTGTCAAAATATTGTGTAGCAGGGTTGTGGACCCTCTGGAGGTCACAATTTTCATCTGATTTTGATGAAACTTGAAATGCATGTTTATAACCCACAGATCTCAGTTCCTTTCGATATTCGCACATATCGGACCATACATGTTTATAACCCAAGTATCTTGGTTCCTGTCGATTTTCATACATATCGAATCATAACTTCCTGAATTATGGCCCCTGATTGTACGAAAAATTGTGTTTTTAGCCTGTGGTCCCTCTAGAGTTCACAATTATTATCTGATTTAAACAAACGTTCGAATATATCACCGTTACACTGTAATTTTGTCTGAGTCTGAATTTCATGAAAATCAGACCAAAACTGCCGGACAAAATGGCCGCCCCTTATACGCAAATAGTGTAAACATCTAGTAAATCAAGGTGATGGAACCTCTAGAGGTCACAATTTTGACCCAATTTCGATGAAACTTGAAATACATGTTTATAACCCAAAGCTATTGGTTCCTTTCGATATTCGCGCTTATCGGATCGTAACTTCCTGAATTATGGCCTTAGATTGAACAAAAAATCACCTTTTTAGCTTGTGGTCCCTGTAGAGGTCACAATTGTTATTCGATTTAAAAAAGTGTGAACATCATTACACACTAAGATCTGGGTTCCCTTTGATAATCGCGGATTCCCGAACTTAACTTCCTGGATTATGGCCCCTGATTGTTTAAAAAATCGCATTTTTAGCTTGCGAATTCTCTAGAGGTCACAATTTTTTTTTTATTTTTAAAACCTTTTAAATACATCACCATTCCAACAAAATGAAGGTTGAATTTGATTTTCGGGAAAATCGAAATGAAACTGCCCGACAAAATGACTGCTCTTTGTACGCAAATGGCCGTGTGTAATACGAAGGTTGTGGACAGTCTAGAGGTCACAATTTTTATCCGATTTTGATGAAACTTAAAACATATATCTTTATATCCCAAAGGTCTCAGGTCTTTTTGATATTTGCACATTTCAGGCCATAACTTTCTGGATTATTGCCCCTGATTGTACAAAAAATCGCGTTTGTGGATCCTGCCTGACAGCCGCTGGTTTTTATATTTAAACCAGTCTTGATCAGAACATCCTCAAGAATTATCGTCACCCCCACCTCAAATTCACGAGGAATCCCCCCTTCAAGTTCTTAAAAAGCTATTACAATTAGATTATTTAAAAATTTGGACAACAACAGTTTTTTCTGCAAACTAGAATTAACTGACAGACCTAGTCATTTTACCGATATGAGGTAGTCTGTGGGTTCAACACCATTGATATAGTTTAATTGCTCTTAGATAGACTTCAATCTGGCTCCCCTAAAACATAACCAGCCCATACCCGACTCGGCAAACCTCGGCAGATTCCGGTACTCTACATTTAGCCTCGGCGTATGACAGTAAGTGATATGTACCTACACCGGTTTACTTATTGGGAAAACTTGCCGCTTCAAGAAAGAAGTTCTCAAAATTGCGTCTTTCGAAGAGTGTGTAGAATTTTCAGTGCAAAGTTGTTTAAAGAAAATCGGATAAACTAGAGAAAACAAAAAACACCTCCAGACATTGAAGGCTTTGTATGCTAAATCTATTTTCAAAGGCTTTGTCATGGGCGACGCCGTTGGTAATCCGGGAACTTGAAAGTAGTTCCAATGGCAGACTTAGTCATACAGTCGAGGCTAAGTGTAGGGTATTGGCGTCTGCTGATGTTTGCTGAGTTACTCATACACAAGTCGATAGAAATTGGATGGTCATGATTGTTAATGTATTGAAAATGAAATAAAATGAATTGGCGAATAATATTCCTACTGTTTTGCTCCGGCTGGGCCAATGAGGACAGACATAGACCAAACAGTTGGCAATAACTTTGATGGATATTTTGCCCCAACAGTGGCGCTGCAGCCTACTCCTTTATCGAAATCCAACTGCCAACAACTATTTTACGTGCTCTTTAATATGTACACAAGACGTTGCCACGCCACTCGTCTTTTATCCATCCGCACAAGTATCGAACTCAGAACCTCCAAGCTACCGAGCCAGTGCCTTAATGTATTTAAACACGTTTGTCATTTAATAATTTAATTTGATATTTAATCTGTTATCGTAACAATGGTAGCAATAAAAATCAAGACTACGCTATTCTTATCAAAGCTTCAATCACTGATAACTTCGCCCAGAATATTTTTTTTTAAATGAAATGGTAAAGTATAATATGTTGCCCAGCAGCAGTTGAATCTGAATCAGTCTGATGGATAGGCCTATTTGTCAGTTCAATGTCGTAAAATTACGCGAAGTAGCCAAGCTATGCTAATTATCATAGAGACCTATAGCCAATTTCAAGTTTTCTGAACTTGGAAGTCGTTGGCTTGAAATAAATATCCAACAAAACAAATTACACCTGTGTTGGTGTTCTAATTAAAATGGAAATGTAATTTACAAAAACATCCTTGAGGGGTAATGCTTAATCTACACCCACGGGTGTGACGGGTGTAAACTATTTAAGTGTAACATTACAATGTTTGAGTGCATCAGGCAGATTACACTACTGGAAGTGGCAACTAGTTTCCATCTGAAATGGTGTAATGTTCTACACTAGTTGGGTGTTATCGGTTTAAACCACTAAAGGCTAGGAGTTATCCCTATTTAGGTGTGGCAACTAGTTTCCACCCTAATTGGTGTAAACTACCTTATTATTTTTAACAGTGTAATATCAAGGTTGTGGACCCTCTATAAGTCACAATTATTATCCGATTTTGATGAAACTTAAAATATATGCGCATATAGGACCCTAACTTTCTGTATTAAGGCCCCAGATTGTATGCAAATCGTTTTAACATGTTTTCTGTCAATCTCTAGTAAAATGTGACCGTATAATGCATGGCAACCGCTTGTTTAAAATTGTAATATTCGGCAGGTCCTCGTAAACCAAAAATGAAGGCATCATAAACACTTCTTTAGATACTATAAATTAATATTTTACTATTCTATAAGATGATCATTATTTATATCAACATTGTCACATTTCCCACCAATTTTTCGGCATCGGACCTCTTGAACACCCCCCCACCCCCGGTCTAGAAATACTAGGTATCATAACTTCTCCTCTCGGGTGACGACCACCCCCAGCCCACCACATGAGCCACCAGACAATGTATTGAGTGCTGCTTTGGGTGCTAGGGAAATAAACGTTTCATTCATTGTGTGATTGCACAAAGATAACTATCATAGTTTTGTTTTCATATGTTCAGCCTATTTTGACTCAAGAACAGTTCTATAAATTATACTCCACTATTATCCTTGTTTTATATGGCGATCCAGATCATCCAAATCATAGTAATACTAACATGTTCCTTAAAGAGACATTATGTCATATTTAGATAAAGAGCTAGCCATTCTTGCTATAACAGTTCCAAAATAGATAATGTAAAATGAATAATTCGAAATTTAATTTAAATTACTCTATTGCGAGCGAAGATATTAGCCTTTGAAGGCTTGACAAGACGTTTGCAATAATTTCAACCACCGTACTGGTTGTTCGAAGCTAAGTCTCGCTCCTCTATTTTTAAATTAAATCAAAATATGGCTAAACCGTTATAATCTTTTTAATATCAGAGAAATCTGATGCCATCGAGAGTTGATTATGGCCTGGATCAGTTAATTAATGTCTAATTAATCATTTAGAAAACATTTCAGGCCTAAACAAAGACCTGCAATAGGCAGATTTAGCTCTTGCATAATGTATGTTTAAATTAGAGAAACCCATAACAATCATATAATGTCAAAGTAGCCACAATATTTATATAAGAAATAAAACAGAACCTGTTATTTGTTACTTGTTCTTATAGATTACATGAAAGATGGCGGTGATTCTAAAATTAATAGATTGAAGACACATTCAAACATAGAATATGTAAGTTATTTTCTATTCTTGTCTATTGATCAGAAACTATCAATAACTATACGTGGATTAATTACCAGAATTTACCCATCTAACCAACACCTGACAGATAGATATAATATTATATCAACACAAATTTACATTTTATGGATACACAATTACTGAGTTAAATACTAAGTGGAAACTTTCGTCTTTATCAAGCAAATGATACAAATTATAGACACATGAAATCAAATGAAATGGGATTTAACATCCTGCATTTTTGCAAACATAGAGAGATACACGGTAGGATAAACGTTTCAATCGCATTTTCGAAAAAGACTGAAGCAATTTTATCAACAAACTATTACTAAATTAAACTATTACTGTTACGCCGCCAAAATGCCTATAAAATTATGTGTTTTAAACACAAATAGCTAAGTTTCTTTCGTTTTGCTTTTTTAGCTGAGTGAAATTCTTCAAGAGGAACAAATCACAGATTTAGTCAATCGGTTGGGTAAGTATATAACAATATTCCATGCTGGATTCCATTCCATTCTTCTTTACACTTTTCATTTTCATACGCCCACATTTTCACGTGGATGTATATCGTCGTTCACCCTTTCTGCCTGTCCGTCCGTCCAAAAATTTTTTATCGACACTCTACAGGTCACAATTTTTATCCGATTTTGACGAAACTTGAAATATAGGTTTATCTCCCAAAGATCTCGTTTTCTGTCGGTATTGACCTTTATCGGATCGTAACTTCATGGAGTATGGCCCGTGATTGTACGAAATATCACGTTTTTAGCTTGTGGACACTCTGGAGGTCACAATTTTTATCCAATTTTGGCGAAACTTGAAATGTATTTGATGACCCAAAGATCTCGGCTCCTTTTGATATCCGCACATATCTGACCGTAACTTCTTGGATTATGTCCCCTGATTGTACGAAAAATCTTGATTTTAGCTTGTGGTCCTGCTAGAGGTCACAATTTTTATTTGATTTTTAATATACCACTGTTATATCGTAATGAAGGTTGAGTTCGAATTTTGTGATAATCAAACTAAAACTGCAGAACAAAATGGCAGCTTTTTGTACGCAATTAGTGTAAACCTATAATACCAAGGTTGTTGACCCTCTAGATGTCACAATTTTTATCCGAGTTTGATAAAACTTAAAATATATGTTTATATCCAAAAGATCCCAGTTCCTGTCGATATTAACGCATATCGGACTGTCCCTTCTTGGATTATGTCCCCTGATTTACAAAATATCGCACTTTTGCTTGTACAACGTTCCAGAGGTCACAATTTGTATCGGATTTCAAAAAAAGTTTATATATCTAACCGTTACACCATAACGGCATCTGAGTTCGACCCCTTTGGATTCTTTCGATATTCGCGCATGTCGGACTGTCGCTTCCTTGATTACGGTCCCTGATTGTACGAAAAACCGCCTCTTTTTTTTTTAGCTTATTCTCTGTGCATCGCTAGCAAAATGTGGGTGTATCTTGCATGGCAACCGCTTGTTTAAAATTTTTATAGTCTGCAGGTCCTCGTAAACCTTAAAGATAATGTTTCCGAATATTGATCCTCACGATCTGGACATGGATTAACATTACTTTATATCGGCATCACGTGTGCTTTTTGAATATAATGTTAATCCGAAAAGAAAGTGTGAAGAAATGAAAAGTATTATCATAGGATAAATTTTAAAATATTTTAGACATTCATGGTTTCCCACTAATAGACATGGCTAGTAATCGGGGACTGGCTAACCTGTTGTTTATATTTTATTACAGGTGAGAAGAATAGAGATAGTCCACAACTGAGGATTCTGAAAGGTACATTGAACAGATGTTAACTTAAATTTACCTAACCAGCAACAAGATGTCTTGAACAATATTACAATAGTGAATTTAACTTATTAATCTTCAAAAATCACCACATTCCTCACAGTTTCTCATGTATTAAATTCCGTACTTTAATTATAATATTATTATGTATTCTTCAGCCAACACTAAAGCCAGTCTTACCGATGTGAAGGAAAAGAAGTATGTGAAGACCCGAGCGTATGCTAAAGGTTTGGAGATACTGACGGAACTGAAAGTCTTGGGTATAATAGGAGCGGCTGGCGATGGTAAAAGCATGCTTTCGAAGATGATCGCCAAAGAATTTATTGCAAAGAACCAACAGTATACACCATTGCTGATATATAAGCCAAGTGATTTAAATAAAGTTAACTTTGAGGATGATAAGTATTTGTTAATCTTAGATGACATCTATGGTAAATATAATACATTGAAGGATCGTAAGGATCAATGGCCTAAACATTTTGAAAATTTTCGAATTAGAAAAGAAAGGGGTCAGCTAGTTTTTATTTACATTATGAGGGATTATATTTATAAGTCTTCTAAGTGTCATTTAGATAAGTACGAAATATTTTCTACCCAAACAGAACTTGAACTTCATTCCGGTGAATTTTCCTTAAACTATGATGAAAAAGAAGAAATACTGCAATTTTATAAAGTACACGAGGATAAAATTATCAGTATTTTAAAAACCGATGAATACTTTGGTTTTCCGGCTATCGCCTCTTCTGTCAGGAAAGCTTTAACGTGTGGTCAATTACCGACGGATTTCAAATCTTCCCATGATTTCATGTTGCAAGAGTTAAAAATGTTTTGGGATGTAAATAAAGACGTATACACAGCATTAAGTATGGTATTCTGTTTACATAATGTGCCGATGAGAGACCTAGAACGTCCCAATGATAAAGTAAAGGACGTTATTAAGGCAATCGAGACAGAAATTTACAGAAAGTTTGAATTATGTAAAGCTCGCGATAAAGTCAAGGACCTTTCAGAAACGTTTATTCGCTTTTTTGAAAATAATTATATGAAAATGATTTCATTGCGAGATTTTGTTGAGGTGCCGTTCTTAACTCATTTTACAGAAAATTTCATTAAAATGGCTTTAGAATATTGTCCCTTTGAACTGTTGATGACAGTTGTAAGTACAAAACCAGCAGATCAGTGCATTGTCATCAACAATTATGACGAACTTTCCTTTCGTTTTAAGAGGGAACTGCAGAATAACAATAATGTTATTTTGACCCATTCTGCTTTTCTTGACAGCAGTTTCTTGTCAAAGTTTCTTAACATTGAAGATATAAACGATTTTTTGCGTGAAGTTAACCACCTCAGTTTAGGTGAAATAAACGCTATACAAGAATCGGGATATTTTTGGCATTATATTTCCCTTTACGGTGACATCGACTGCCTTAAAATAATTCTCTTATATTTTCAAGACAATTTACCTAAACTGGTTGACAAGAAAACCAAATTTGGGTGGGATGTGATCAGTCTAGGTGCTATTTCAAAAATTAAACCTATTGAAAAACTTGATCTCTTATTGAAAGAACTAAAATATGATGACCTAGTAACATTGCCACACTTTGTTGTATATTCTAGTGACTTAAGTGTTATTGAACATGTTGATACTAAACATACAAACTTTGATATAAAATCACTAGATAACAAGTCAAGAACGATTCTTCATAACGCTTGTGATTCTATCCACGATGTTAGCGATATAATTAATTTTCTCGTAGAAAAGGGGTTTGATTTAAATGCTAAAGACAAAGATGGTTGCACACCACTTCAGCTGGCCGCAGGCAGGGGAAAAACAGCAACTGTATCAATCTTAATAGAAAATGGTGCCTCTGTGGTTGAACGAGATAACATGGGGAGATTACCCAGCCATGCAGCTTGTGCTGCTCAAGGTAGAAGGAATGATATCGATTCCAGTGATGTTCTTCGTCAGTTAATAAAAGCTGGATGTCCTGATAATGATCCCGATAAAGAGGGGCGAACTCCATTCTTAGAAGCGCTTGTAGTTGTAAATACTAAATGCCTCCAATATTTAATTAAAAATTTAACTCGTTTAGATATACAAGACAAACTAAGACAGCCATTTATGACTGAAGCGACTATGTTAAATGATATTAAAACGTTCAAGGAAGTCTTTGATATTTTAATTACAGACAAAAGCTACATCGAACTTATTGATGTAAATGTATTAAAAGAATGTGTTGATTCAGTTGAAAAAATCAAATATTTGTTTAAGAAAGGTGCTAATTTGGAAGTTGTCGATGATCAAAAGCGTACCGTACTACACCACGCTTGTCAAAGTGGTACCACTGAAACCGTTAATTATTTGGTTAATAACACGAAGTTAGATGTTAACCAGAAAGACAATAATGGTTGGACACCAGCAGTGTTTTGTTGTTGGTCTGAGATTAACCCTGTTGATAAACTGATGATATTATCGTCAAATGGTGGTGAGTTGGATACAGTAGATAAATCTAACATCAGTTTACTACACCACGCTTGTCAAAGTGGTACCACTGAAACCGTTAAGTATGTGGTTAATGAAGTAAACTTAGACATTAATCACAAAAACAATAATGGTTGTACACCAGCATTTTATTGTTGTTGGTCTGAGATTAACCCTGTTGATAAACTGATGATATTATCGTCAAATGGTGGTGAGTTGGATACAGTAGATAAATCTAACCGTAGTTTACTCCAGTATGCTTGTTATATAGGTACCACTGAAACCGTTAAGTATTTGGTTAATGAAGTAAACTTAGACATTAATCACAAAAACAATAATGGTCGTACACCAGCATTTTTTTGTTGTCACTCTAAGATTAACCCTGTTGATAAACTGATGATATTATCGTCAAATGGTGGTGAGTTGGATACAGTAGATAACTCTAACCACAGTTTACTCCACCACGCTTGTCAAAGTGGTACCACTGAAACCGTTAAGTATTTGGTTAATGAAGTAAACTTAGACATTAATCACAAAAACAATAATGGTTATACACCAGCTGTGTCTTGTTGTCACTCTAAGATTAACCCTGTTGATAAACTGATGATATTATCGTCAAATGGTGGTGAGTTGGATACAGTAGATAAATCTAACCTCAGTTTACTACACCACGCTTGTCAAAGTGGTACCACTGAAACCGTTAAGTATTTGGTTAATGAAGTAAACTTAGACATTAATCACAAAAACAATAATGGTCGTACACCAGCATTTTTTTGTTGTCACTCTAAGATTAACCCTGTTGATAAACTGATGATATTATCGTCAAATGGTGGTGAGTTGGATACAGTAGATAACTCTAACTGCAGTTTACTACACCACGCTTGTCGACTAGGTACCACTGAAACCGTTACGTATTTGGTTAATGAAGTAAACTTAGACATTAATCACAAAAACAATAATGGCCGTACACCAGCATTTTTTTGTTGTTGGTCTGAGATTAACCCTGTTGATAAACTGATGATATTATCGTCAAATGGTGGTGAGTTGGATACAGTAGATAACTCTAACTGCAGTTTACTACACCACGCTTGTCGACTAGGTACCACTGAAACCGTTACGTATTTGGTTAATGAAGTAAACTTAGACATTAATCACAAAAACAATAATGGCCGTACACCAGCATTTTTTTGTTGTTGGTCTGAGATTAACCCTGTTGATAAACTGATGATATTATCGTCAAATGGTGGTGAGTTGGATACAGTAGATAAATCTAACCTCAGTTTACTACACCACGCTTGTCAAAGTGGTACCACTGAAACCGTTAAGTATTTGGTTAATGAAGTAAACTTAGACATTAATCACAAAAACAATAATGGTTATACACCAGCTGTGTCTTGTTGTCACTCTAAGATTAACCCTGTTGATAAACTGATGATATTATCGTCAAATGGTGGTGAGTTGGATACAGTAGATAAATCTAACCTCAGTTTACTACACCACGCTTGTCAAAGTGGTACCACTGAAACCGTTAAGTATTTGGTTAATGAAGTAAACTTAGACATTAATCACAAAAACAATAATGGTCGTACACCAGCATTTTTTTGTTGTCACTCTAAGATTAACCCTGTTGATAAACTGATGATATTATCGTCAAATGGTGGTGAGTTGGATACAGTAGATAACTCTAACTGCAGTTTACTACACCACGCTTGTCGACTAGGTACCACTGAAACCGTTACGTATTTGGTTAATGAAGTAAACTTAGACATTAATCACAAAAACAATAATGGCCGTACACCAGCATTTTTTTGTTGTTGGTCTGAGATTAACCCTGTTGATAAACTGATGATATTATCGTCAAATGGTGGTGAGTTGGATACAGTAGATAAATCTAACCTCAGTTTACTACACCACGCTTGTCAAAGTGGTACCACTGAAACCGTTAAGTATTTGGTTAATGAAGTAAACTTAGACATTAATCACAAAAACAATAATGGTCGTACACCAGCATTTTTTTGTTGTCACTCTAAGATTAACCCTGTTGATAAACTGATGATATTATCGTCAAATGGTGGTGAGTTGGATACAGTAAATAACTCTAACCGCAGTTTACTACACCACGCTTGTCGACTAGGTACCACTGAAACCGTTACGTATTTGGTTAATGAAGTAAACTTAGACATTAATCACAAAAACAATAATGGTCGTACACCAGCATTTTTTTGTTGTTGGTCTGAGATTAACCCTGTTGATAAACTGATGATATTATCGTCAAATGGTGGTGAGTTGGATACAGTAGATAAATCTAACCTCAGTTTACTACACCACGCTTGTCAAAGTGGTACCACTGAAACCGTTAAGTATTTGGTTAATGAAGTAAACTTAGACATTAATCACAAAAACAATAATGGTCGTACACCAGCATATTTTTGTTGTCACTCTAAGATTAACCCTGTTGATAAACTGATGATATTATCGTCAAATGGTGGTGAGTTGGATACAGTAAATAACTCTAACCGCAGTTTACTACACCACGCTTGTCGACTAGGTACCACTGAAACCGTTACGTATTTGGTTAATGAAGTAAACTTAGACATTAATCACAAAAACAATAATGGTCGTACACCAGCATTTTTTTGTTGTTGGTCTGAGATTAACCCTGTTGATAAACTGATGATATTATCGTCAAATGGTGGTGAGTTGGATACAGTAGATAAATCTAACCTCAGTTTACTACACCACGCTTGTCAAAGTGGTACCACTGAAACCGTTAAGTATTTGGTAAATGAAGTTAAATTAGATATACACCATATAGATAACGACAATGACACTCCATTATTATGTTGTTTCTTTTCAAAGATTCAAAAGATGGAAAAGATTTATTTTCTGATATCAAAAGGTGCTCAGATCACTATATGTCGACCATATAAAGATGTCCTGAAGGACGAGGATGACTATGATAAATGTAATTATCTATTACATCATAGCTGTTATCTAGGTACATTAGAAACAGTGAAATATTTAGTCAATGATGCTGGATACGATGTAAATTATACTGACGATGACAATATGACAGCTTTGATCTGGTGTTTTAAAACAAAGATTGGACGGAAGGAAAAGATTAATTTCCTCTTATCTAAAGGTGCAAAGATAGTTTAATCATATAAACATTACCTTCAATCATATCCTCCAACCTTGTTAGTTTTCTCCGGGTTCTCCGGCTTCCTCCCATATGTTAGTCCCAAAATGACCTAGTTTGTGTCGTGTGGACATTAAACACCATGAAGTGTACGCATAGGCATACAGGGAAATTTTTGACTGGGGGGGCGGTGGTGGTTGGTGTCCAAAAAATGTAGTTAGGTTCTTAGTATGTTACATCATAATAATAAATTCGCTGTTAAATTGGACACATTCAAGAACACAATATTTTTTTTATACAACTTTTACAAAGTACAATTGTGTGCCCAAATTTTCCCAGCATTTGGTGCCCAAAATGGGGGGGGGGGGGGCGGCCGCCCCCCAGCCCCCCCAGCTTGTACGCCTATGAGTGTACGTGTTGTTAGGTCATTATTAAATTAGAAAAAATCAACAGAATGTTTATTACGTGACTCAAGAGCAATGCCATGTTTTCTTGTCAAATAATGGAGTCGTGGAACATAATCCAGTACTTATTATAAATATGTAAATTTATATCTAACGAGGTTGATACTTGAGAACATGTTAATATTTATATCTAACGAGGTTGATACTCGAGAATATGTTAATATTTATATCTAACCTGGTTAATACTCGAGAATATGTTAATATTTATATCTAACGAGGTTGATACTCGAGAATATGTTAATATTCATGTTCTGTATATTTAAAGTTTCTAGTTAAATCAAGAAAAATACATTACAGAAAACAAAATGAAATGGTGTTTAACGACCTACTTTACTGTTCGGCACCAAATGGTCTAATGAAGACGCGTCAAAAATAACAAAGATTTCAGTTTCACTCATAATGTTTACCTGATCCTCACGAAAAGGTTCAATGTCACTATCTCAAAAGGTACTTTTAACAATCGCATGGTATTGGTTCGTATTACTCCAGGTTAACAAATAGTTTTAGACTCAACAAAATTCAAAAAGCCCAAAATTAAATGATGAATTTACTCTTTCGCGTTATTGCACTGGAACAGATCTAAACAATTTGTCCGTTTGCATATGTAAAAGAATTTATTATTATATATACTCCAATATGCCAATAACTTGTTTTCAAAACTAATACGAGCTTGATCGATAAATGATAATCCTTAATCTGCGCATGTAGAAGATTTGAAAGTGATATTTTCTTGGTTGACCCTTTTCCCGTCAAAATCATAATATGTAATATATAATAAGGTCTAATTCAAATCATAATATGTAATATATAATAAGGTATAATATGTAATATATAATAAGGTCTAATTCAAATCATAATATGTAATATATAATAAGGTCTAATTCAAATCATAATATGTAATATATAATAAGTATAATACACATTTAACCCACCTGAGTATTAAATATAAACATGAATATTCGACCTTGTCGTTATGATTATTATTGTATTTGTTTACAAGTTAAAGATAGTGGTATAAAATCAATAAAAACAAATGTAAACATAATTTAGAACTAAGCGATTTGAATAATGATTGTGATTGATCCAAAAATAATTATTATATTTAAACCAGGTATACATCAGTTAGATCTGAATGATCTGAATAATGATTATATTTACCTATATATCATCAATATATTTAATCTTATTACATGTATATTCAGGGTTTAATTATCATTTGTCATGTTTTTTGTATCCTCGTGTAACTATGGTTCATGATTTTAATCATCTGTCTGTTGACAATAAGAAACGTGTATTGTTAATTTTATTATACCTTTCGCCAACGTTTTGCCTGGTTCACTACACAAGTTTTTTAGGTAGGCTTTAGTCTTGACTTTGTAATGACTGTTTCGGTACTCTATCTTTTAAACACAGGGTCTTGTCAGTAGAAGACAGATTATTGTTGTCAAAAATGTGTGGTTTGGGGTACCACGAGGACCGGTGGGCCCAACCCTGTCCACTATGTAAACAGCACCAATAGTTAGAAATGAAATGAAATGAAATAAACCATCTAAATCTGTTAATTTCCATGACAGTAAATATTTGTACTTGTAGAATATATTAATGAAATGAAATTAAAATTTGGATGTCAAATAATTCCTTATGTTTAAATGTACACGTGTTAACTATTATTTATCACATAGTTTTACGAATTTATTATTTAGTTACAATATATGTTAATAATGTTACTCTGTCAATACATCTGCCATATTAAAAGTTAACACGCCTTCAAGGAACCGATGAAGTGAATACAATAGCTGTTATTTCTTGGTATATAGAAAAACCTTTTCTTATCACACTCCAAACCTTTGGAATAAACACCCTCTTGCTATCTGAAACAGCGGTGTCTCGGTTGAATACGCCCCCCCCCCCCTTGCTATCAGAAACAGCTGTGTCTCGGTTGAATAAACCCTCTCTTGCTATCAGAACCAGTGGTGCCTCGGTTGCTATTAGAACCAGTGGTGCCTCGGTTGCTATTAGAAACAGCGGTGTCTCAGTTTAATAAACCCCCTCTTGCTATCAGAAGCAGGGGTGTCTCAGTTGAATAAACCCCTCTTGCTATAAGAAACAGTGGAGCCTCAGTTGAATACCCCCCCCCCCCTTGTTTTTTATGTTGATAGTTCTTATTAAAAATCTTATGGAAGCTTTACAAGTTAAATATAGATATTAATATATTTGATTTAATTGTACAAGTTATATAGATATATTTATATATTATATTTTATTGATGTCATATCCTATTATAACTAAAGGGTGATATCGTAGACAAGCTAAAGGTCTTGTAGAGGGAAGGTATATATTTAATATTTTATTGTAAGTTATTTATATATTGTATTGACGTCATATCCTGTGAACGCTTGAGAGACGGATGTGCTCTATATATATGTCGTTATGATAAATAAATCAGGAACAAGGCATGTTGTATTCTTAATGCCAACTAATTACCCATAATAGTCCGTGTTCTTATATAACAATCTCTTTTAATCAATTTAAATTTATATAAAAACAGAAAGGTGTCAAGATTAATTACTGTACCTGCGCAGTGATTTCACCTGTAAGAATTAGAATACCTAGAAACAGAATTGGATTTAATATGTCAACACAAGAGTAGAAATGTAGATTCATTAGATTAATATTTATTTAAACTATTACTATACATTACAGAAAACAAAATGAAATGGTGTTTAACGACATACTTTACTGTAGCTTTTGATTAAATGTTTTACATCTTGTATATATGATTAAATGTTTTACATCTTGGATGTAAATTTAAAAATTCAATCTTTAAATAAATAAAATGTTTTTAATCTGTTGTTTAGTATTTATAACTACTAATACAATAATTCGGTTCTTCTGAGATTAATGCAGTTTTCATTTACAAAGGTTACGCATGAAGCGACAGTTCCACCCACCACCCATTTTGTCTGCCAAGAGATGACCGTTTATGTGCACCGTTCCTGGTTGTTTTGTGCTACCCGAAGGGCTATTTACACGGGCACATGTGGAGGGACGAACTTTGTGCGTGTGTGGGGGGAGGGGTGACACCCCAGGAAAAAAATACTTGGGTCTCAAAATAAGTGCTGTCAGTCTCAAAATTATGCATTGGCGACCAAATGAAGTAATGAGGTAAACAAACAATGCCAAAATAGGGCTATTTACACGTGAAAATGTGGGGGGAGGGGCTAAGGAAAAAAATACTCGGGTCTCAAAATAAGCGCTTAGTCTCAAAATTATGCATCGGGGACCAAATGAATTAATGTGGTAAACAAACAATGCCAAAATGGAAGGGGAAAATCCCAAATACTTAAAAGATACATTCTCATGAATGTATTTATCGGGTGGTATGACACGTTTGCTATATATGGAAAGCATAGACGCCCAATCTTGCTAGAAAAATTCTGGATTACCTTAAAAGCACTTAAGGAGCGAGCACTGGGCAACAATGTTAGGGTATCACTAACTGGCAACCCGGCGGCTTATTGTCTACCAGCTTGACTTATTTCTTGATTGAATGGTTAGGCGGTTTTGTGAACATGATGGCCGGGGCGCGTCGAATTACCCAATAACACCAAAATAACAACCAATAACTACAAAATGTTGACTTTGGAAACACAAAATAACAATTTAGTTGAATTTAAGAAGCATCGCTGCTTTGTGTCCAAATCAGAGTTTCACGCTCACTCGTCTGAAGGGAGATAACTCATATATGTGATTTTTGTTGACAAGAAATTAAATTAATAACACCCAATAACTGCCCAATAACACCAAATTGTTGACTTTGGAAATACAAAATAACAAGAATCCCCCCCCCCCCCCCCCTGCCTCCTCAATCAACTTAGATGACAAACATGGCTTCTAAAAATATAGAAGACAACGCCGGTTAGTAAAAGAGCCCACCAGGTTGCAGACCACCATTAATTTCCCCATGGAAATTCAATGTTAATTCTGGCCTCTCTGCCCACCTCCAACTTTTCCCCAAATTTTCGTTGGGCTTGGAAGGAATTATGAGTGAGCAGAAATTCATCCGTGTATCTGTTATCACTCGTCACATCAGTCAGTCATATAGAGGTATGGCTCGTGTTTTCCTTTGGCGTTTGTCATTTCCGATTCAGGAAACCTGTATTACTCAGCTATCGTAGCAATGATCTCTGTGTTAAAATTATATGTGGAATGTGTTTAACCAGCTCTATCACATATGTGATAATGACTGGCACCAACATTGTCCTTTAAAGGCAGTCATGGAACCTATCGGAAGCAAATCATATGTGATAATGACTGGCACCAATATTGTCCTTTAATGACCTATGATATGAATGTTTTCAATTTTTATTTGCACCTTATAACGAATTTTGAACCTGGTTGTTGATGAATGTGTATATTTCAATAATAATACTAACTGTCCTTCATTCCTTGTGGATACGACAGAACGATTTCTGACAATCAATGTTATGACCCTTAATCATGTGGCTCATTGCGGGTAGACTAATCACCGGAATTCACCAGAATTCATTTACAATCACCTGAATTCATTTACAATCACCGGAATTCATTTACAATCACCGGAATTCATTTACAATCACCGGAATTCACTTCTAAAATCCCCGATTCCTCCCACAAAACTCACTTATTTTAAATGTATAATACATTTTGATCTCTCCGCAGACCAGAAAAAGGTGCCGTAGGTGAATTTATTTGAAAGACTACCGGAATTCATTTCAAAATGCATCATGATTATGATAACCTAGGGCGCGTCGTATTACCCAATAGGCCGAACTCCAAAATAACACATATGACCTAATAACAATTTGCATCGAATTACCCAATAACTCCAAAATAACAGCCAATAACCCCAAAAATGTTGACTGTGAAAAGCTCATTGTGTATGTTGACGAATATGTCTACACACTTTCACAGAGAGAGAGGGAGAGGGTTAACGTCAACTCAACACAAACTAATAGTAAGTGCAGGAGGACCGCACTACACGTAAAACAAAAATCTACAAGATATTAACCTGCGGACAAGACAGAAAATAGACATTGCACCAAATAAACAAATATCAGATCAAGTGAATGGATCCGGGGGACAGTTGTAAGCGTCCTCCAACCTCGTGGGTTTTCTCCGGGTCCTCCGGTTTCCTCCCACTGCTAAAGACCCCTACGCACAAGCGAATTATTGAAATAAAATTAAACTATATGTTAGTCCCGAAATGACCTAGTTTGTGTCGAGTGGACATTAAACCCCATTTCTCTCTCTCCAGAGTCCATACCAACTCATTCTAAGGATTTCAACGTAACATAATAAAAACAATTTTAATCAATAAACTAGTATGACCATTAGGGGCGAATGGGGCCATCGATCGGGATCGCCCGAAGGGCCGGACGGACCAAAAATGAAAAAAAATGATTTTGTCCAATTCGTCTAAAAAACCTTTTCTGCTGAACATTATATGGGGGGGGTGGGGGTATTGGACCGGCCATGGAGCGATGATGATCATGTTGTATGTAGCCGGTGGCTTTAACGGGCCGCCACGCCATCACTGGAATCTGGATTGGGCTGGTATAATAGACTTTCTGGGCCGGGTGTGCTGGATGTGGGCCGGAATTCAGAATCCTGCAATGGGGATTCCGAATTTCATCTGAAAATTTCATCGGATTCACCGGACACTGTCGCCAGAAACGTCTGCCGACCGTTCATAACTCCAAAAAATAAATTCAATTTTAAGGCCTCGGCAAAATTTGATGATAGCTGGTCTTGACGATACAATGATAATACGTTAATTAATAATATGACGATATGATAATTTCACAAGTTGATGGTTGTAAATTACTTGCAGGTCGGGGTTTTGGCCTAAATTAATCGATTTATGAGATGAATTATTTGACAGAGATTATAATCAGATATGCCACCAAATCGCATATTAGGGGTTCATTTTTCAAAATTTTCATAGGGGAGCCTGGGCCGTTTTCCGGCCCCAATCCGCCCCTGATGACCATATATGTTCTGGCATGTGCGTCAAGTTTTAAAGGGTCAATTCCGATAATATATTGGAGAATAAAACTGCTTTGTTTTGTGTTAAAATCCCTTATAATCCTCTACCTTAGGGGCGGAGCAACTTACTCAATATATGTGATACGTTTTCAAACAACTTAAACCGGTCAGTCTTAATCTAGAAATGGAGACCGTTGTCCTAAGCTGTATTATGCGGTATCTGGATATAACCAGATTTTTATTTTATAAAAATAATGTGTAGGTGAAATTTACCTTTCGTTATCAAGTACAGCACATTGGTCATTCACTGTATAGACCTATAAAGGAACGGGAATCGATTATTAGGTCACCCAATGAAAAAATTGATCTGAAATCTTAAAAGGGTTACGTGGACAGTTAAGCAGTTTTGACGTTCACGTCCAAACGACTCAATATTTTGAGCTGAATTTTTGGGACAAGATAAATACACCATTCCTCTATATTTTGGCACTTAAATTTTATACTTACTCGGACTTTATTTTTGAGACTCTGTTCAAATCGGGATAGTCCCTTTAAACATGTAATAATTAAAATGAGTTTCACATCCTACTGTTCGGCACCAAACAGCCCCAATGAAGACGGTTATATTGGTTGGCCCTGGAGAAGAGAGAGAAATGGGGTTTAATGTCCACTCGACACAAACTAGGTCATTTCGGGACTAACATGTGTGTTACACCTTTGGATTCGTTGAATCGGGTTTTTGATGACAACACTACTGGTTTAACTTCATATGATAATTTTATTCTTCTTTAAACATATCAAGTACAAAACTTAAGACTCTGTAATTAGTTTGTATTGAGGGGGCATGGTCCTAGCTTGGCTTGATACCCTTGGGTGCCAACTCCCAACTAACTTACATGGCCCCTGTCCGGTCTTAACCCAGACGCTCTAGCCCTCGAACTATAATCTCAGTTTGGTTCCTGGACCCTGTTTCACGAAATTTTAACTAAAGATAAAATCCAAATTTTACTAGATACTTCAATTTTGATTGACCTAGCACTAAAATCAATCTAATATTATCCAATCAAATTACTAAAATTTGGATTCTATCTTAGTTAAAATTTCGTGAAACAGGCCCCAGCTCATAGTCCCTTTCTGGATAAAGGATGACTGAAGAGATTATGCAGTTGGCTATATTACATCATGCGTTCAGTACAGATTGCTGTACAGACCAGTCATAAGTTTATATTATAATAACGACTAATGAGTGCTGAATGAATGAAATGGGGTTTAACGTCCTACTGTTCTGCTCCTAACCTGGGCTAATGAAGACGGGCATACGCCATACAGTGTGCTATGAGGGAAATTTTGCCCGGGCAGCGGGCAGCGGCACTATCGCCTACTCTTATATCGAATTCCAACTGCCAAGGGATCTTTTACGTGCATTCGAATGTATACACGGGACCTCGGTTTTTCGTCTCATCCGAAAGACTAGACAGCTGTCCTTGTCAGGCCCTCCGCTAATGAGTGCTAGGTGGACAACATGGATGTCGATATTAAAATCAGTTCCGCGATCATGTGTCAAGATGACACGATAACGTATCCTTGACATCTGTCATTATGTAACACATGGTTCGATTTTATTTCAATAATTCGCTTGCGCGTAGGAGTCTTAGCAGTGGGAGGAAACCGGAGGACCCGGAGAAAACTCACAACGTTGGACACACGACCCTACTCCTTGTCACGTACAACAGGGGAATCGAAACCACGCCAGTTGACTCAATGACAGACCTTATGATACAGCATGCACGTGCTAACCATTTGGCCACCCACCCCCCCCTGGTATAAATGGACTTTCTATACGCCCACATTGAAATATGGTCATATATTGTTGTCCCCCCTGCCCATCCCTCTGTACATCCACAAGGATTGTAAACTGTCTATACTTGTAGGATTGTAAACTGTCTATACCCGATACGTGTATGGTTATCATCTGTATATGTTGAAGATGCGTAGGATTGTATCTGGTATATGTTGGAGACTTGTAAAATATGACAAATTATTGATATTTAAACAAAATATATTTTTCAAAAATCTTTTGCAAAACAAAATATTGCATTTAAAGAATTAATATTTTAACAATTATTAATATAACCTTAATAAATAACATATCATACATCAATATTTCACTGTATAAATAACATTACACTGTATAAATAACATTACACTGTATAAATAACATTACACTGTATAAATAATACATCGTACATCATTATTACACTGTATAAATAACATTACACTGTTTAAATATTATTACAGTGTATAAATAACATTATGCTGTATAAATAACATTACACTGTATAAAATGTCGACTAAAACCCTCTGTGGAATTGTGACTTAATATTAGTTTATCATTTATGACTTAATATTAGGTTATCATTTATCATGACTATTGATTTAACAGTTATCAGCATGAAAGCTTTTTTATTCTTGGATGGCTCATGGATTGTTCAGTCTGGTGCAGAAAACGTCATAGCAAACATGGCGTATACCTATCTTCATTATCCCGGCTGATGCATAAAATTAGTAGGTTAAACCCTATTTTATTTCATGTGTTCTAACATGGAGTTATCTCCCATGTAATATGTAAGGATGATTAGCAGTTGGCACTAGACAAAATAATCTGGTATCAAAAATATATTGCATATTATACAACAGATATAAATAATTCAACCTATATGTACAATACAATAGTTATAATAGTTATTTACATAATAAATTACAATTGTTTATAATATAATTCAACCTATATGTACAATACAATAGTTATAATAGTTATTTACATAATAAATTACAATTGTTTATAATATAATTCAACCTATATAATACAATAGTTATAATAGTTATTTACATAATAAATTACAGTTGTTTATAATATGAAATGAACAAACTATCCTAACATTACTCAAATATCATGTGACATTACTCAAAACAATTATCATGTGACATTACTCATAAACAAATTATCATGTGACATTACCCAAAAACAAATTATCATGTGACATTACTCAAAACCAAATTATAATGTGATATTACTCAAAACCAAATTATCATGTGAAATTAATCAGATAATTTAAATACGTAATATCATGTGACATTTATATAATTTATATCATGTGACATTACTCAAATAAATGTGACATTTATGACACTCAACTATTTTAGATATAAATCAGTGTATAACTATCTCAACCATACTTCAGTAACCATGTAGGTAAAGCTATAAGTGTATATCTATCTCACATGCCCACCCCCCCTAATTTTCGACAGTGCCCTTTTTTACTGCTGAAAGTGCCTTTTCTCAGACTCAAATATGTCCGTTCCCAACCCGTTGTAGGGATCCCAAAAAACTCAAACCATCAACTCAAACACACCAGTCTGGGAAATAGCTCTTGGAATGGCTACAGATGCAAGGAAATGACGGATAATTTTCTTGGCCCCCCCCCCCCCCCCATCAGCGGCGTGCCCCATCTCCGCGGTCAATGCCTTCATTTTGCAGCGCCCCCCCTTTCAAAATTCCTAGATCCGCCCCTGAAGTGTATAACTATCTCAGTGTGGGTAATGCTATAAGTGTGAAAATGTCAAACTGTTTAAGTGTCTTGAGACCCTGTCTACATGTAGACCGGTGTTATAGTACATGTGTTTGAACTCACAACTGCATAGGTGACAGAACTATAACACACAGGTTTTAGACCATATAATATCTAAAATTATCTTATGTTATAGTACATGGGGTTGGATCCACAACTGCATAGGTGACAGAACTACAATACACAGTGCAAGGTTTAAAACCATATAATATCTAATATTATCTATGGGGTTGAACTCACAACTGCATAGATGACATAACTATAATACACAGTGCAAGGTTTTAAACCACATAAATATCTAATATTATCTGTGGGGTTGAACTCACAACTACATAGGTGACATAACTATAATACACAGTGCAAAAGTTTTAAATTATATAAATATCTTATACTATCTATGGGACTGAACTCATAACTGCATAGATGACAAAACTATAATACACAGCGCAAGGTTGTAAACTATATAAATATCTAATATTATCTATGGGACTGAACTCACAACCGCATAATACACAGTGCAAGGTTTTAGATCATATAGACAACTGAGATCAATACAAGGCTGTGTCATTCATCTTTTATTTCTGAGATCAGATGAAAGACTTGTAGGAACTTTTAACATTCCCTCAAAACACAGGTTGATAACTTGTAAGACAAAGAAACACCCATAGCAGCTAAGTTGTTGGAACAATCCATAAAGACTGTCACATTTTTATTCTTGTGTGGGTGGTGGCAGCATTGACACCTCACTATAAACTGATCAAGGGTAACAACCATGAAATAATGTTGAGAAAAAATAACTTTAGCTTTTCAGACTGAAAATGAATAGGATTCCTCCTCTCCTGTACAAAAGTCAACCTGATAATAACTTTAGCTTGACTAGAATGTCGACAAGTAATTGAAGATAATCCTCAACAGACAGGCAGACAGACAGACAGACAGACAGGGGTGATGACATTTCAATATCTGTATATGTAAATACAGGAGATTTATTATCACATAGGAAATGGGAGGAGAGAGAGAGAAAGAGAGAGCGAGAGAGAGAGAGAAATGGGGTTTAATGTCCACCTGACACAAACTAGGTCATTTCAGGACTAACATATGGTTTTTAATTTTATGTCAATAATTCACTTGCGCGTAGGGGTCTTTAGCAGTGGGAGGAAACTGGAGGACCCGGAGAAAACCCACGACGTTGGAGAATGTGAGGTAAATTCCAGGTAAACTGTCTTCGTTCTGACCAAAGGTCATCATTCATTATGACCTTTAAGTATACCACATTCTTATTGGTTGATATTTCAAATCCTAAAACAGATTTCAGTCCTTTAGCCAATGAAAACGTTGGTTATGATTACAAATTACCATGGATGACTCCGGTCTCCGTTAACAGTGCCACTAGCAGGAAGACAACGTACAGAACCATTAAATAAATACCCCAAGCTCTGGTCATACGGAATCCTGATAGTGGTACTATGAGTAGGGAAGATACCAGACTGAATGCCAGGAACCCTGCTAATACAATCTCTTCAAGTGTCACATTCAACTGAAATTTTAATAAAACACGTCAACATTGTTATTAATTAATGCACATTTAACATCAAGCAATCAAACTGTTTATCATTCTTATCAATTGTTAAAGAGACATTATGGGAGATTAGATAAAGTGTTGATAGTTCTCACTATAATGGTTAACAACTAGATAACGTAAATAGAATATGCTGAAAATTGCTCTACCCTGAACCGAGATATTAGCTTTTGAATTTTAGGCTAGCCTTGATCATCATTACTAAAGTCAGTAAAATAAACACAAAGTCTTGATTAATTAATTAAGGTCTAATTAATAATTTAGATAACATTTCAGTCCTAAACAGAGATGTGCAATAGGCAGATTTAGCTCTTGCATATTGTATGTTTAAGCAGAAATTAAATGCTATTTTCAAATTATTCCTGGTATTTATGTATTGTAACTCAATTAGAATCAAGAGCTGTTGTTCTCCAAAGAATCACTATTCAAATTGTTTATTGGTGCTTAGCATGAATTTAATCATGGTTTAGATGTAATCAAACTTTAGACCAAGTTTCATTACTCTCCCTGATCAGAATCAAAGTTATGGCGTTCTAAAATCTTAAACAATCAATTGCTTATTTATCTCAAAATTCAACTTAGTCAAGGTATTGTATATCTCTCAGCTTAATTCAACAATCTACAATCACACTATTTAATACAATATTTATGTAAAATTCTATTTACGTCAATATTTGCCCCATTTAGTGAATGGTTTATTAAATTATACATGTACCTAGCTAATTAGTTATACTTATGTGATTATTAATAAACAAAACAAAAACATTTAACATAAGTAAAGCATGTTACTTACTGAGTAACTCCCACCATTTTTAAATGTACCAATAGTAAACGGAATACCAATACCTAACAATAAATCTAGAGGGTGTTGAGGAAATTTACAAATTAAACTAGCTAAGTCTCTAACTCAATATCATCTAAAGTCTTCGACATTGAAAACACAAATTATTTGTCAATTTAAATCCACGTTGATGTTGTGATCTGACCGGAAAAAGATGGGCTTCTGATATCCAATATTAAAGATAAAATAAACATTTGCCATTGGTACAGGAATCGTGTACCATAATGCGTTTCAGCGCCATTTGTAACAAGGGACTCAAAGAACGAGGCTAGAGGTATTCCACGTCATGTCAAACGGGGACGCCATATTCTTATCTGGAGAGCATGCGCAATAAAAACTATCGGTGTAGACTGCAATACCCAGACACTAGAGACTGACATTCAATTGAGGCTTCTGGCGTATTTCGCCGAACATAACTGATTTAAAATTAGAGTAAAAACAGAAACGATTGAATGTAAATCAGTTTATATACATTCATATTACATTATCATATGCGACCAATTTGTGTCAATTTTTCGGTTCCAAATATTAGTGATTTAGCTTCTTTAAACTACTTTCCTTCATTAGTTGATGAACTACCTGTAAACTATGTAGAGAATTAACCTTTTTGTCTAGTCCTTCGAATGGGGTGAAAACCTAGGTCTCCTGCACACACTGGTGTGCATGTAAAAGAACCTTTGACAGCTGGAATTCAAAACAAGAGTAACTGTAGTGCCACTGCCCTGGCTAAATTACCCTCATAGCACACTGTATGGCCTTTTTTCATTAGCCCAGTCGGTGCAGAACAGTAAGACGTTAAACCCTATTTCATTTCATTGAATTTCCGTTTTAACCTCATTTAATTTTGCTGGTCACCATCCTAATTTCTAAGGATGGTTTTAGGTTAAAAAGGATACTAAAAAGTGGTCCACCAAAGCAGGCTGATATACCCATCCTAGGATAACCTTGTTTAGCCATTGCTGTGTCTGCTATCAGATCTAAAAACAAACAACAATAATATGAAAGACAAATTTTCACAGCCATGACATGCACCCTACCTTCTCTTTTTACGGCGTACCCCCTCTTTTGATGGTACACCTACCCTTTTTTATGGTGCACCCACTGTTTTGATGGTACACCTACCCTTTTTTATGGTGCACCCACTCTTTTTATGGGACACCGACTGTTTTTATGGGGCAACCACTCTTTGTATGGGGCACCCATTCTTTTTATGATGCACCCACTCTTTTGATGGCACACCCACACATCTTTCTGTACCAACATTTTTCAAACAACCCTTAACAAAGCGTACTTATGCCTTTAAAATACAGATGTGACGTTATCCTTTGATGTTGGTGTACTCTTATTTCAAATAATGTGCGAACAACTTGCCAATCGTACATTATTTACACTAGATGAAATATTGGACTCGTGTGACGTATTTCATTGCAAAGCACATGCGAGTGTCTGTATTTTAAGACATTGTGTAATATATTGAAACAACACTCGGTGCTAACATCCCACGTGAAATATTAATTTATCACTTAATGTCTCGCCCTCGATCATGAGGCCCATAGCCAGCTTGTTGGCTTTGGAGGGGCGGTGAAATTTTTAGGGTCGGGGGGCACAGTCTACAATAGGTATTTTAAAGATATGGTTGGCACCTTTTTTTTGGGCGGGGGGAGCAAACAATTTTTCAGGGGGGCATCGCGCCCCCTTCCTCCCTGCTGGCTACGGGGCTGTAGACCTTCAAACCACACTTAAATAATGTTTTAGCAAGTAGATATCTACAGAGCAAATAGAGTGTTGACTTCACACAGGCACAGTCAGCCGAATAAATTAAACAGAGTTCCCTCCCTTTAATCAACAAATAACTTGATAAGAATTATAGAATAATGTTTGTCTTTATGAAAAATATAAGAAGACCTACCTCCTATAGAATTACCCCATGCTAGAAATGTTAACCCTAATATAGCATTACTGATGTTAAACACTATACCAAACATCTGAAAAAAGACACACACATTTATAGATTAGTGGGCAGATTGGAAAAGATTTTAGATGAGGGAGCTATGTTTTGTGCATTCCCATAAGTTTCTGAAAAGAGAGAGAGAAAATGAGTTTAACGTCCACTCAACCCAAACTAGGTCATTTCGGGACAAACATGTGGTCTAATTTTATTTCAATAATTTGCTTGCGCGTAGGGGTCTTTAGCAGTGGAGGACCCAGAGAAAACCCACGAGGTTGGACAGTGGGTTCGAAACCACGAAAAGTGTCTGAAGGTAGATTGGTTTAATATAGTAGTGTTATGGAAGATGCAGTTCAAACAGATGCAACAAAAATAAAATGAAATGAAATGGGGTTTAACGTCCTACTGTTCTGGCTCTGACTGGGCCAAGGAAGACAGACATACATCATACAGTGTGCTATGAGGGAAATTTTGCCCGGACAGCGGCACTACGGCCTACTCTTATATCAAATTCCAACTGCCAGGGGATCTTTCACGTGCACACTAGTACAAAGGACCTCGGTTTTTTCATCCCATCCAGACGACTATAGACAGCTGTCCTTGTCAGGCCCTCCATCCTGCACCACTGACAAGGGGAAACCACGCCGAAAAGTCCTGGTGAACTTCTTCTACCAACAACGGGAACAAACTGTGACCTCCAGGCAAGCGAGCCAGATTGTCAGACCCTCCATCCTGCACCACTGACAAGGGAAAACCACATCAGGTTCCTCGGCCAAAACCGGGAGCGAACCCCGACCTCCAGGCAAGCGAGCCAGAGTCTTAACCACTTAGCTGAATGACTAAACGCTTTTTGCCACACCCTCTTGTCTTGCCCCTTTAACAAGGTGAAATCAGACTGGAAAGTTCCAAGGGATTACCTTAACCAATGCCAAGATCAAACCTGATGTCTCCTGGTTTGTGAGTTAGAGCTATCCTCCGTGTACAATCATGGGTCCACAAGATCAAATACTTCCCTGTCAGGCCTATGAATTAGCTCCCTGACTGACCTATGAATTAGCTCCCTGACCTATGAATTAGCTCCCTGACTGACCTATGAATTAGCTCCTTGACCTATGAATTAGCTCCCTGACTGACCTATGAATTAGCTCCCTGACTGACCTATGAATTAGCTCCCTGTCCTATGAATTAGCTCCCTGTCCTATGAATTAGCTCCCTGTCCTATGAATAATTCTATAAATATACATACCTGTAGAATATTGACAACCTCGTTAGCTATACAATAAATCCATATTACAGAAACTAAAAACCCTAAATAGGCAAATACCTGAAATAATAACCCAAACGAAACATCAAATAATCACCGCTTGGATTAATCATTAGGAGTAAATAATGACTTGATTGACGCTAAATGTAATGGTTAATCCAGGATAAATATGATTAGAATTTTAAGTTTTTTTTCCGGCAGTTAATTCTCAAAAAGAATTGCCCATACCGCAAAACATTATCTCCAAAATCCAATTTTAATCGCCACTTCCATATTTTTATCACAAATTGTGACTATAGCGACAGACAGCTTGAGCCTTCCTTACATAGACTTGCTCTACAGAAATTGATTGTTAAGGCTATAATATGTTCACTCAGAATAAAGTAATTTGTATGAAATTTTCAATATATTCATTTTGCATTATCTATTTTTGAATTATTATAGCAAGAACGGCCAGCTCTTTATCTAAATCTTACATAATGTATCTTTAATAATTCGGGTGCAAAGAAAATATTAGTTAGCCTCTAACTGGTGCAAATAAGGACCGCCATACCCAATCGACCAATCAGAACAAGAATACTTACAGCATGATAGCGGGGATATTGATTATTATTGGACGTAAGAAACACAGCTAAAGATAAGATAACTCCTACTGGTAAAACTAACGCCCATACTGGATAAACATTACCTATTGTCTTCCATCCTACTAAAAACAATCAAATTAAACAGTTTATATATACAGAATTCAACTTTCTAATCTGTGGTAGGGAACGTGGCTGGTGGTTGGAGGGGCAAAGCTGGGGCAAAGTCCAAGGTTAAGGGGACAAGGGCACCAGCTTCAACCAGGGGTAGGGGGCTTCCCCAGACATTTTTGAATAACTTCACTCAGACTCTACAACATGCACAAGTCTATGACTGAGTGGGGATGTGGGATTTAATCACTGTAGAAAGTATTGATTACCGAAACATATCACAAATACTTTTTTTTTATTTATTAAAATTATTGGGGGGGCAAACGGAGGGCAGACCAGATTTATGTTATATACGTCAGGCTTTATGGGCTAAGTAAAGGTCTCTTCATGACACCATAGCTATCATATTTCTCTATGCTTGTCTCATATGGCATCCCACATTACAATGTAGCACATAGTTCTTATTTTCATATACATATCTGTATTTATTGTTGTCACTTTCCCAGTCGTGTAATGCGACACTAGTTCTTATTATAATACATTAATTTATTGTCATGTTGTAACCTTTACTTGAAGAATAAATAAATAAATAAATAAATGGGTGGGGGGAGGCACTTTTCCCCCCTTGGTGTCACCACTGTTTCTTATCTGTTGATGTTTTTACACTTGGTCCCATCTTGCTACTGATCTTGCGGATCTCACAAAAAAAAAACCTAAGACTCCATCAACTCAAATACTAAAATGAAATGGGGTTTAACATCCTACTGTTCTGCTCCGACTGGGCTAAAGAAGACGGGTATACGCCATAGTGTGCCATGAGGGAAATATGGCCCGGGCAGCGGTACTGTGGCCTCCTTCTCTTATATTGAATTCCAAATGTCTTGGGATCTTTTATGTGCACATCAATGTATACCAAAGACCTTGTTTTTTTTGTCCCATCCAAACAACAGCTTTCCTGGTCAGGCCATCCATCCTGCACCACTGACAAGGAGAAACCGCTCTGGATCATCTCGATAAAATTTCTCGGCCAACACCGGGAGCGAACCCACGACTTCCTGGCTAGCGTGTCAGCGTCTTACTCACTCAGGCTCCGTGGTTCCAACTCAAGTACGATCTACATTCAACTCGGCATGATAGTTCCTTGGACAATTGCACACTCACAAATTCAAGCATTGATTTGCTTACAGTGGGTTTGTTTTGACAACCTCAGTCATTTACTAACATATCAAATACTTACAATTAGTAGCAAATATAGCGAACAATGGTCCGACAGTACAGTGGAGAGAGTTGACATATCTGGACCAATTGTGTTTGATTTCATCTTCATAATCTACAACTGGTATAGTTAGTTTTAATATAAATACTACTGGACACTGAAATAACACAGAGGAAGAGTTAGGCAAACTATAGGTTAAACTTTATTTCAAAATTACTCAAATTTTGACTTATTTTTATGCTAAACATAAATCTGCCTATTGTAGATCTTTCTTTTGGCCTTAAATGTCATATCAACTATTAATTAGATATTTATCAACAAAACAAGACCATAATCAACTCTCTAGACTAACATATGGCAGAGAGAGAGAGAGAGCGAACTAGGTCATTTCGGGACTAACATATGGTATAATTTTATTTCAATAATTCACAGTGGGAGGAAACCGGAGGACACGGAGAAAACCCACGAGGTTGGACAGGCGACCCTACTCCTTGTCACGTACAACTGGGGATTCGAAACCACGCCAGCTGACTTAATGACAGGCCTTATGATACAGCATGCACGGGCTAACCATTCCAATCCCCCAACATATGGTAGAGGTGGGATACCGAGGAGGGGTGCTGAGTAGTGCGCCTGCACACACCCCCCCCCCCTCGCCCGATTTTAAACTGGCAATTTGTAAAAAAAGTACCTTCACTACAATAAAAACACTTCCCATAAATTCATCCGTCAATTCTCTATAAACTTCTTGTGTCGGAACAATTGGGGGTTTTCAGGTTTGATTCATTTTGATTACGATTCAAAAATGACTTGGAAAATTAAAATTAAACTACTGTTTTAAGAAAATTGTTTCGCATTGCTCGGTTTTATATACTAACATTGTTTAACCTGTGGGGACATATAAATACGTAATTAACAGTCCTTGATTTTACTCTATTTTGTAAATAAGCTGTTTTTACATTAGAGTAATTTAAATAATAAATTATAAAGCTGTCAACATTAAATACAACCTTTGAACTTGTAAATTGACAAAAGATGATAACCTGATTATTATTATATCTATATTATAATCAGAATGATATATAGCGTACAATATCTTACTCTATATCAAATTCCTTTCTATCATATACCTATCAATGATGTAACAACACAGACAGAGAATGAAATAGAGTTTACCATCCACTCAACACAAACTAAGTCATTTCAGGAGTAACACATGTTTCCATTTTATTTCAACAATTCGCTTCCACACATGGGGCTTTACCAGTTGGAGGAAACTAGAGGAGAGAGAGAGAGAATAATAGGCTTTAACGTCCACTCGTCACAAACTAGGTCATTTCGGGACTAACACATGATTCAATTTTATTTCAATAATTCGCTTGAGCGTAGGGGTCTTTAGCAGTTGGAGGAAACCGGAGAACCCGGAGAAAACCCACGAGATTGGACAGACGACCCTACTCCTTGTCATGTACAACCGGGGATCGAAACCACGCCAATTGACTTAATGACAGACTTTATGACACAGCGCGCACACGCAAGCCATTCAGCCATTCAACCCCCCCTTGTGTAATACAGTCCTGACGGCAACTATCGAGAAAATAAATTGATTGCCATTTTGAATTAGTTTATCACACCATCAACTTACTTTAAATATTTCATAGAATCTTCCAAAACATCCAGCTTTCACCCATTTATCATGATCAATAGGATTGAGAGAATGAACGAATATAATCAGAGGATGAATATATTCCTGTTCTATAGAAACTGTATCTTGAACGTAGTTCGTTAATTTACATGCTTCAGTATTTAATAACGGACGTCTTTCATCTATAAAATATAATTTAACTAGTACAAGTACAGGGTGACCCCAAAAAAATGCCACTCATGAAAACATCAATTACATGCAAAGTCATTTTTGCATTTTATTCATATTTGGTACAAATAAACTTTAGTCTATGCCTGACATTTCTACCCATTTTCAAAGATTTTGGTTTGATCATCATTTTTTTATGTTCGTTCCAAGATATGCTCTAAATATCCACCTCTGCGCTCCAAGCAGACCTGAATCCGACGTGCAAAATTGTCAATTACTCTCACACACTCCTCCCCAGGGATTCTCCTGATTTTGGCAGTGATGGCTGTCTTCAGTTCAGACTATCCCAAAAAGGACTTTGCATGTAATTGACGTTTTCATGAGTGGCATTTTTTTGGGTCACCCTGTACATTTAATAAATAGATAGAACTCAATGACCATTGAAAACAGCTCCAGTTATTCAATGGTTCAAGAGAGTGTATCCATGCGGCAGGGATACACTCGAGTGAACCATTGAATAACCCGAGCCATATTCAGTTGGTCATTGAGTTCTATCTATTTATTAAATGTAAATGCAAATCTCAAAATACACTGTATACTATCAAAAACAACGTTAAAATTCATCATGGGTTCCACCCTCCTTTTTCTTTCTTTTTTACAAAAATTGTAGTTGCTTAGTGGTGACCGTCATTACTGTTTGACGTAATTCTGAAAGTGACATCATTCTGGACAAAAGTTGTACGTTTTCAAGCCATTGAATACAACCATGATATTTGCTTGTTTTTGTATGTAGTTATAAAATAATTATATTTAACTAGTACAAGTATATTCAATAATTATATTTAACTAGTACAAGTATATCTATTAATTATATTTAACTAGTACAAGTACATTCAATAATTATAATTAACTAGTACAAGTACCTTCAATAATTATATTTAACTAGTACAAGTACATTCAATAATTATATTTAACTAGTACAAGTACATTCAATAATTATATTTAACTAGTACAAGTACATTCAATAATTATATTTAACTAGTACAAGTATATTTAATAATTATATTTAACTAGTACAAGTACATTCAATAATTATATTTAACTAGTACAAGTATATTTAATAACTATATTTAACTAGTACAAGTACATTCAATAATTATATTTAACTAGTACAAGTACATTCAATAACTATATTTAACTAGTACAAGTATATTTAATAACTATATTTAACTAGTACAAGTATATTTAATAACTATATTTAACTAGTACAAGTACATTCAATAATTATATTTAACTAGTACAAGTACATTCAATAACTATATTTAACTAGTACAAGTATATTTAATAACTATATTTAACTAGTACAAGTATATTTAATAACTATATTTAACTAGTACAAGTACATTCAATAACTATATTTAACTAGTACAAGTATATTTAATAACTATATTTAACTAGTAGAAGTATATTTAATAATTATATTTAACTAGTACAAGTATATTCAATAACTATATTTAACTAGTACAAGTATATTTAATAATTATATTTAACTAGTACAAGTATATTTAATAACTATATTTAACTAGTACAAGTATATTTAATAATTATATTTAACTAGTAGAAGTATATTTAATAACTATATTTAACTAGTACAAGTACATTCAATAATTATATTTAACTAGTACAAGTATATTTAATAACTATATTTAACTAGTACAAGTATATTTAATAATTATATTTAACTAGTACAAGTACATTCAATAATTATATTTAACTAGTACAAGTATATTTAATAACTATATTTAACTAGTACAAGTATATTTAATAATTATATTTAACTAGTACAAGTATATTTAATAACTATATTTAACTAGTACAGATTTCGTTTAAAAAAAAAAAGAGAGAGAGAAAGAGAGAGAGAGAGAGAGAGAAAGAGAGATGGGGTTTAATGTCCACTCGACACAAACTAGGTCATTTCGGGACTAACATATGGTTTTAATTTTATTTCAATAATTCGCTTGCGTGTAGGGGTCTTTAGTAGTGGGAGGAAACCGGAGGACCCGGAGAAAACCCACGAGGTTGGACAGGCGACCCTACTCCTTGTCACGTACAACAGGGGATTCGAAACCACGCCAGTTGACTCAATGACAGGCCGTATGATACAGCGCGCGTGTGCTAACCATTCGGCCATCCAACCCCCCGATTTCGTTTAAAGAAATCTATTACTTATTATAAATACCACAATCCATGCCTACTAGTCAATCATTCGTCCATCTTGTTTATCTAAAAATTGCAAAAACGTCTGACACTTTTTTCCATTAATCAATTATAAATCAATTTTAACTGTATTTACTATGTTTAAAAATTAAATTCTTTGAAATTCTTAATTTCATGGCATGTAAATTAACTGCCACGTAAATACTTACACTCTAATGTTTTGACATGTAAATACATAACCTCTAATGTTATGCCATGTAAATACATATAGCCACCTACCCTCTAATAAAGTGTTGACAGAAGATAAATTAGGATCAATTGACTGAGAATCTTCTTCGTTTGGATCACTGATTATTATTTCCTGATTGTGAATTGCTGAAATAAAACGAAACAATGTCAAATGAAATGAAATGGGGTTTAAGATCCCGGCATAATGAGGCCGGGCATTCCTCATGCCGTATGATAAAATGTAAAATTTTGCACATTTGGTAAGTCTTCATCGAATTCCAACTGTCATTGGTTCTTTCACATCCATGCCAACGAGTAGTCTACACTTTGGTTCCCAAATGACTGATAACATTTTATCAATACAATATTCCCACAAATCGGATTAAAATTAAAACATGTTTAAAAAATAAAAATCTTGGTTTTCACAACTGCATGATATTCCCTTTAACTTGAATAGACAGCCAATCAAATGTCTCAATAATAATACCACAAAAAAAACCATTACTTAATACCTTGAACAATTCTGCAGGTCTGAAGAATTACATGAATGCTTTGAATTGCCGAGGCTGGTAACTACTACAAACCTACCAGATACTGTTTGACTAGTAACTATGGTAACAAACCTACCAGATATTGTTCGACTGGTTACTACGGTAACAAACCTACCAGATATTGTTTGATTCGTTACTACAGTAACAAACCTACCTGATATTGTTTGATTAGTTACTACGGTAACAAACCTACCAGATATTGTTTGATTGGTTACTATGGTAACAAACCTACCAGATATTGTTTGATTAGTTATTACAGTAACAGGTGGTGTTGGTAACCCTCGTTGTTTTTGGTAGATATATCGTCCAGCCACCACTACTACCACATAAAACACATAGAACAATATAAAACCTGAAAGTACATAGATTTTTTTCTACTTTATTCTAAACTCTTCCATGGGCAACTGGATAACATGTTGGTCTTCAACTAGCTACCCACGATAACAACATCTTGGCATATACGTTTGCACTTTGTTTCCACAAAGGGGAATAACTCTTGGTCAAGAATTCTTTTACATGCACGCCAATGTGCACATGCAACCTTACTTTTCCATTCCATCCAAATGACTAGACGCTTTCCTTGTCAGGCTCCCGTCCTGCACGACTGACAAGAGAGAGAGAGAGAGAGAGAGAGAGAGAGAGAGAGAGAGGGTTAACTTTCAGTCAACACAAACTAGGTCATTTCCGGGCTAACATATGGTTCAATTTTATTTCAATAATTCGCTGGCGCATAGGGTTCTTTAGCAGTGGAAGGAAATCCACAAGGTTGGACAGGCGACCCTACTCCTTGTAACATACAGCTTGGGAATCGAAACCACGCCAGTTGACTCAATGACAGACCTTATGACAAAACGCGCACATGCTGACCATTCGGCCATCCAACCCCCCAAAATGGCTGACAGACAGATATGATAGTAATTAATTATATAATTACCAATCGATTCATATTTAGTAATCTCTTTCTTCCATAGAATGTAAAACGTCCAGAAAACTGCCGCTAGATAAAATATGACATCACGTAGAAACGGTCTCTGCATCGCATCAAAAGGTCGAACGATAGCAATAACACCAGCTACAACTGTTGTAACAAATACACCAGCACCTGATGATCGAGACAAAATAATTAAATATTTGGACTTGGATATCCAGCTCTCAGCAAATAGAGACAAAATAATCAAACAAATTGAGTAAGCAGAGTGAAATGAAATGGGGTTAACATTCTGGGTTTCGACACAGACTGGGCTAATGAAGTCTTGAAATGACCATCTTCAATAGAAGGCTTGATCTCGCTTTAACTACTTACATCTTATCAAGGCCTTCACGTAATACCCTGCATATTGTGTCACTAATTTCAAATGGGTACAAGCCCAACTTGTGAGCCTATTAGATTCCTCGATCGTCGCGAATACCAAGTCTCGCACTTTCAAGATAAAATGTCTACCTGTGATAATCAAGTTGCAAAGTTCAAGGTTCATTCAATGTCAAGGTTTCCGTGGAGGTCGCAATGTCACAAACTCTGTTTGGACGTTACTTCTCACGTGTCTGTAGATAACATAGCTATAAGTTCGGGAATTGTGAAGTAAACAAGCAACAGCCAGATGTTGTGAAACTCGCAGTCGTTGCTTCTGGAACATGTGAAACAACATGCAGTCAGCTATCCAGAAAATCATGGTGACACTTCTCCAGATTCCAACTGCGAAGGGTTATGTGACACACACACCAATGTGTATAAATGGGATGCTGGATTCTTATCTCATCCAAATGACTAATGAAACTTTCTATTCCATAAATCGTACTTGAACCCGAGTCGTACTGGTTAGCAAGTCTGCACCATACTCAGTGCGCCACCAGGTCTTGATTTAAGCATCCAGCTTTCAGGAAATGAATTGTCAATGATAACTAGGTCTAGTGAAGTAAAGCAATAGTGATATGTTCAATTCTGCATTGTAAGACCTACTGTAAGTCCAGCTTTAAGGCCCATTTTAAGGCCTACTTGATTGACATTGTTTAATAAAATGATAGAGAGAGAGAGAGAAGTGGGGTTTAGCGTCCACTCAACAAAAAATAGGTCATTTCAGGACTAACATATGGTTTAATTTCATTTCAATAATTCGCTTGCGCGTAGGGGTATTTAGCAGTGGGAGGAAACCGGAGAACCGGATTCGAAACCACGCCAGTAGACTCAATGACAGGCCTTATGATACAGCGAGCACGTGCTAACCATTCGGCCATCCAACCCCCCTAATATAATGATTAACATATTATTAGATGACAGTCATCTTTACCATATCACGATTTTATCTCGGTAAATACAGTTAAGAAATGAAAACGACTTTGCTTTTTTGTCCCTTTCGACAGACTAGTCACTGATCCTAGCCCAGCTTTCTGTCCATCTGACGATGGGAAATCACAGGAATGTCTCATTCTCAACACCAGGAAGGAACCCAGGACTTCCTGGCTAGCGAGGAACCACCCTACACACTGAGCCACAGCAGCTCCCACCTACATTTAAAGCTACTGCCCTAACCCTTGACATGGTGAAGACGGCAGACATGATGATATTGATCATTTTATTCGTGATTCTACTTAAAATATCATTTTTTGAGTCATTACAATAAGAAAATAAATAAACTATACCTAAGAGAGCTCCGAGAGCTAGTCCGGCGTCACCGTTACTAGCGTTACCAATAGCAGCAATAGATGAAAATATATCAGGTGCTCCATTACCAAACGCTAAAAACGTCACACCTTACATCATCATTAAGGAGGTCTCACCTTTAAAACTTTTATTTTTAATAATTCCAATGAATATAAATTAGGATCTTTTTTTTTCAAAACACCATTCAAACCTTCCCTATTTCAAACCATCCCCATTTCAAACCATTTCTGATCAAAACACAATTCAACCAATCTATTTTTCATACCACCTTATTTTCAACAAAACAATGGGGTATCACTGAATATTTGGTATGGTTTTAGGATTGTTTATTGCTCAGTTTTGGAGAGAGAGAGAGAGAGAGAGAGAGGAATGGGGTTTAACATCCACTCAACACAAACTAGGTCATTTCGGGACTAACATATGGTTCAATTTTATTTCCATAATTCGCTTGCGCGTAGGGGTCTTTAGTAGTGGGAGGAAACCGGAGGACCCAGAGAAAACCCACAAAATTGGACAGGCGACCCTACTCCTTGTCACGTACAACAGGGATTCTGCTCAGTTTTGGAGTAAATTGGAATCTCTGAATCTGGTTTAGAAAGAGAGAGAGAGAAATGGGGTTTAACGTCCACTCGACACAAACTAGGTCATTTCGGGACTAACATATGGTTTAATTTTATTTCAATAATTGGCTTGCATGTAGAGGTCTTTAGCAGTGGGAGGAAACCGAAGGACCCGGAGCAATCCCAGGAGGTTGGACAGGCGACCCTACTCCTTGTCACGTACAACCGGAGAATTGAAACCACACCAGTTAACTCAATGACAGACCTTATGATATAACGTGCACGTACTAACCATTCTGCCCCCAATTTATAAAGTGTTTGACTCTGACAGTAATATTTTCTAGATTATAAGTTGTTAAATAATTAATGTGTTATCATCAAGTGTACATGATGTTGTATAAAATTATTACACTGATTGAACCTAGATACTATCACAAGTTGAACTATTTAAAACAATCAAATGGGGTTTAATGTCCTACTTTCTGCTTTATCCAGGTTAATAAAAACATACAGACACCGTGAAGTGGGCTATAAGGTGAGATTTTGTACCATCTGTCCTGCAGGGGCGGATCCAGGGTGTGTGTGGGGGAGGGGTTGCTGTGTAATATTTAGTTAAAGGATATTGCTGTATTACGACTGTGTAATATTTAATTAAAGGATATTGCTATATTTATATCTAATTAAAGGATATTGCTGTATTACGACTGTGTAATATTTAATTAAAGGATATTGCTATATTTATATCTAATTAAAGGATATTGCTATATTATGACTGAGTCCCAGAGTTTTCGAGATTACCGTTAAAGCTGGACAAAAACTGAAACAAAATCAAAACCATGATACATAACGTCCATCCATTTAAATAAAACTTGATATTAGAACAAGAAGAATGAAAGGGAGATCGAGAGAGAAATGGGGTTTAACTTCCACTGACACAAACTAGGTCATTTCATGACTAACATACAGTTCAATTTTATTTCAGTGATTTGCTTGTGTGGGAGGGGGTTTAGCAGTGGGAGGTAACCGGAGGACCAGGAGAAAACTCAGTACAAGTGAGGAAGCAAAACCAGGCCATAAGAACTAAGAACAGACCTAAAGTCTATACGTTAAACCATTCTGTATCCTGACCCCCCAGGATTAAGTTGGAGTAAAAAGGGGCCCAATCAAAAGATATTCAATGAAAATCAAATGTGTTTCTGGCTTGTGTAAACTTTTTCAGTACATTTTGTTGAAAATTTTTATATTTTATGAAAAATGCAAATGTTGAGTAGAAATTTGAAAGGGGAGATTAGATAAAGAGTTGACAGTTCTCGCTATATTAGTTAACATGCAGATAACATAAACAGAAATAATCCACTCGGAACTGAAATATTACCAATTGATTTTTAGGCCTAGTCTCAATCATCATTACTAAAGTCGTAGTACGATAAAAAAACAAAGTCTTGATTATCCATTTTAAAAAATGTATTCCAATTTGCTAAATATCGCAGGCTAGGGATGACATCGAGGGTTGATTATGGCCTGGATCAGTTAATTAATGTCTAATTAATAATTTAGATAAAATTTAAGGTCTAAAGAAAGATCTGCAGTAGACAGATTTAGCTCTTACATAATGTATGTTTAACAATGTATTCCAAATTGTTAAATAACGCAGGCTAGCGATGACATCGAGAGTTGATTATGGTCTAGATAAGTTAATAAATGTCTAATTAATAGTTTATATAACATTTCAGGCAGATTTAGCTCTTGTGAAATATATGTTTAATTTAAAGAGTAAAATACGTACAAGTCATCAGCAGTGACAGCTAGACCAATAAACAAAAACACCCACCAAATAAACTAGGATAAAAAATAAATCAGCATTTAACTAGAGAGAGAGAGAGAGAGAGAGAGAGAGAGAGAGAGACTCTAACATATGGTTCAATTGACAGACCTTATGATACAACACGCAATGATAACCATTCGGCCACCCAACCTCCCAGAAGTGGGAGGATAAAAAGACCCACAGCATTACAACAAATTGTGAGCCTATTCCTTGTCACGAACAAACCCAAGAATTGCAGAGATAACATACTTGCTTGGCTACATCACACAAATATTCTGACTATTTAACTGATGTAATTTAAGATGGAGATTGCCAGTTTGTGCATACAACATGTAACATGTAAATGAAATGGGGTTTAACGTCCTACTGTTCTGCTCCGACTGGGCTAATGAAGACTGGTACATGTATATATCATGCAGTGTGCTGAGGGAAATTTAGCCCAGGCAGCGGCATTATGGCCTACTCATATATCGATCTCTTACACGCATGCCAATGTATACACCTGTTTGGACCTAGAACCACTTTCCCGGACCCCAATGGCGTTGATGGGTCCCAACAGATGTTGAATTTGTTTAATGGGCTCACCCCATCAGTGCTACAAACCCATTAGGTGCAGTGAGCACAGTGGGGGTTCAGATTCAGTCCAGGGAGTCCTACTGGGAGCCCAAATCAGCCAGGGTTTGGAGTCCAGGAAGCCGATCAGTACTTTTAGGTACTTTTGGGATTCGTTTTCGGAATTTTTGGGTATTTAGTACAGCCATTTTGTACACCGAAATCCCCCCTCAGTTTTATGGGGATTGAGAGAATTCAAATCCAGAACTTTGAATTACCAGTAAGTATCCTTACATGGGTCAATTCCAACTGCCAAGAGTTTTTTTTACACTCACCCCAATGTGTACACAGGACCTCCGAAATATTAACATGGCATGGGTGACAATCTTTATAATGGATCAGCCTTTCTCCCTAATAAATAAGAAGATTACTATCCATGGATTCCACGTCAGCCGATCAAGACTCTAGGGCTATGGAAAATGGCCGTAACTAGATCTGACCCAACAGTCATTTTGCCCGCGGGAAAAAGAACTTCTATCATAATAAGAATAGGTACTTCAGATTTATCCAGGACGTGATTCTATCTAATATACACCATTGTAACATGCTTGATTGGTTAATCAGATTTATCCAGGACGTGATTCTATCTAATATACACCATTGTAACATGCTTGATTGGTTAATCAGACACTGTCGATTGGACAATAACACCCCTCTAAATGCGAAACAGGAGGTGTTTATCTCTCCTAATTATAAATAACTTTTCATCATTTGTTAATGATATGAAATAAAATATGGAAATTATTGCAACTGATTGCCAGTTGTAAGGTGTTTCACAAAAAGCTCTCCCTGATCGAGATCCAGGAACCTGATGGGTTTTGATCTCATTCGAGCATTGTAAAATCATTGACTGAATACATGACAATAAAATGTGGGTGTATAAAAATATAAATTTATCATACCACTATTACGAGGCCTAATGGTAGAAGATGTTCCGCAAAATCACAATAAACGAAACTGGTATATCTAATAAACCCCTCATCTATATCACAGTCAGCTGTTTGATTCACAAAACTACAAATATCGGTTATATTCATATTGTGAAAATCTCGACACTACAAAATAAAATATACAAAATACAATAATACAAAATACAATTATACAAAATACAATTATACAAAATAAAATATAGGAAATGCAAAGGAGAGAGAGAGAGAAATATACCAAATGCAAAGGAGAGAGAGAGAGAGAGAGAGAGAGAGAGAGTTTAACGTCCACAAACTAGGTCATTTCGGGACTAACACATGATTCAATTCTATTTCAATAATTCGCTTGCGCGTGGGGTCTTTAGCAGTGGGAGGAAACCGGAGGACCCGATGAAAACCCACAGAGAGAGAGAGACAGAAATGGGGTTTACCGTCCACTCGATACAAACTAGGTAATTTTGGGACTAACACGTGGTTCAATTTTATTTCAGTACTTTGCTTGCTCGTAGGGGTCTTTAGCAGTGGCAGAAAACCGGAGGACCCGGGAAAACCCCACGGCGTTGGACAGGCGACTCTATTCCTTGTCACGTACAGCCGGGGATTCAAAACCATGCCAGTTGACTCAATGACAGACCTTTCACCTTATGATACATCACGCATGTGCTAACCATTCGGCCATCCAAGCGCAAAATGCAAAGGAAATGAAATGAAATGGGGTTTAACGTCCTACTGTTCTGCTCCTATACTGGGCTAATGAAGACGGGCATACGCCATACAGTGTGCTATGAGGGAAATTTTGCCCGGGCAGCGGCACTATTGCCTACTCTTATATCGAATTCCAACTGCCAAGGGATCTTTTACATGCATTCCAATATATACACGGGACCTCGGTTTTTCGAAGGAAAAGACCGTACAACTGTCCTTGTCAGGCCCTCTGTTCTGCACCACTGACAAGGGGAAACCACGTCGGAAAAATGGGATGGACTTTCTCGGCCAATGCAGGGATCGAACACCCGACCTCCAGGCACCGTGGCTCCCAAAAATGCAAAGGAGTCTGGGTTTGATTTATATCCCTTTGCCACTGGTTTAATATGAAGGGCCTGACAAGGACAAGGATACAGTCTTTCTGATGATTCATAAAAACAAGGACCCTAGACATCTGGAATTTAATTAGGACTAGGTCATAGTGACGTTGTCTGGGCAAAATAACCCCCATTAGCCTGGTTGGTGGAAACTGAGTAGGGAAGGATGTTAAACGGAGAGAAAGAGAAATGGGGTTCAATGTCCACTCAACACAAAATAGGTTATTTTGGGATTAACATATTTAGCAGTGGGGGGGGGGGAGTCTGAGGAAGCCCAGGAGGTTGGACAGGTGACTGTAAACCTCGTCACATACAAGCATGGAATCAAAACAACGCCACTTGACTCAATGACAGACCTTATGATCTAATGCGTAGAAGTAAGCCATGTTAAAGAGAGAGAGAAATGGGGTTTAACGTCCATTCGACACAAAATTTTATTTCCATAATTCGCTTGCGTGTAGGGGTCTTTAATAGTGGGAGGAAACCGAAGGTTCCGGAGAAAACCCACGAGGTTGGACAGGTGACCCTACTCCTTGTCACGTACAACCGGGGAATCGAAACCACGCTAGTTGACTCAAAATACAGACTTTATGGTACAGCGCGCACGTGCTAACCATTCAGCCAACCACCACCCCAAGCCATGTTAAAACCCCAATTATAATTTGTTGACATTAGTCATACTCATTGTTGAAATGAAATACAATGGGGTTTAACAGCTTTCGTTTCTGATCCAACCGGGCTAATGAAGAAGATAGATCTGCATCATTTTTACCAGGACAGCAATTGATAACATTTTATATTAGTATGAGAGAGAGAGAGAGAGAGAAATGGGGTTTAATGTCCACTCGACACAAACTAGGTCATTTCTGGACTAACATATGTTTTTTAATTTTATTTCAATAATTCGCTTGCGTGTAGGGGTCTTTGGAGGAAACCTGAGGACCCGGAGAAAACCCACGAGGTTGGACAGGCGACCCTTATCCTTGTCACGTACAACCGGGGATTTGAAACCATGACAGTTGACTCAATGACAGGCCGCATGATACAACACGCACGTGCTAACCATTCGGCCATCCAACCCCCCATATATTAGTATGTATATAAAATTACTTATAAGTAAAGAGAGAGAGAGAGAGAGAGAAATGGGATCTACCGACCACTCGACACAAACTAGTTCACTTCGGGACTAACATATGGTTCAATTTTATTTCAATAATTCGCATGCACGTAGCGGTCTTTAGTTTAGCAGTTGGAGGAAACCGGAGGACCCAGAGAAAACACACGGGGTTGGCCAGACGACAGTAAACCTTGTCATGTACAAACATGGAATCGAAACCACGCCAATTGACTCAATGATAGACCTTATGATAGAACATGCACGCGCTAACCATTCGGCCATCCAATCCCCCTGCTCGTAAGTATAAGCCTATTTCATATTTGTATTCAAGTTAGTAAAAAGTTATCACATGCCTGATGCTGCTTTGAAACATAGCCAAATTACAGAAGTTGTCTATGCAATGCAAAGTTTCTGATGGTTATTCATGCAAATAAACGACATTTTCATTCATGATCGTTTGATTTTCCGTCAGCCCCTTTCGGCTTGCATCACCTGTTCACTTACCTCGACATTATTGGGGGAATCCTCTCCGTCACTTCCGTTACTAATTATATTTCGGATTTCCTTTAGCTTCCCCTTGTTTAAAGGTGATTGGAGGTCGATATTGATGAAACTCTGATCTCTCGCTTGGCGATTTGACTTCACCAAACCGTCTGGTGTAGAGTCGTTGACAAGTGATGACTGAAAACTTAAAACTGTTGACATTTCCGCGAATAGGACACAAGCTGTGACGACAATTTTCCAGACGTGACTAACCTCTCCCATGATGTTCTAATTTTAATAATTTCCTTGTTGTGCGTCCTTTTTATTATGATATGCAATTACGTGTATATATCATGAATATTTTTATGTATCCACAAAAAACGTCTCAATATTTATCAAATAAAGTTACATAATGTATTCATGGGTGTGAATAAATTGTTTAAATAGACATGTCTTTAAACATTGGGACAGATTCGGTCAGATATAAGATTAATTCAGTTGAGACCGCGATATAAATTCACCCTTATAGATGAAAGCCAACACATTAAAGTCTCCGGCCAGTTTGAATCAAGTGTCGTAGGCCTGGGTTTTATTCATATATAATAATTCACACATCGTTTAGCAAGAAGGCCTAAATATAAAGCCACAAGAACTGTTAATTATCTCGACCAAATATCGAATAGATAGATATAGGTCACATATATCTCTAGCTGATATAAACATCACTTAATACATTTCTCAATCCAACACACATAACACAGGTATATATATATAATGACGTCAGTACACCGTTATATTGGCTGGTTATTATATACACACCTTTCCCTATACACGCACTGCTGTGATATATAGAGATATATATATATATGCTGGCCGGTAATTATTTCGCTAGATTACACACTTTTCTCTGTGAAATTTTACTCACACATAATGTTATGTATTTCCGATATTATGTATTTAACCCTATAAGGAAATTGGGTTAGTGTGGTATATATTCTCATATTGCACGTTTGACATTTGTAGAGAATGTGGTATATATATTCAAAAGCTGTAAATATATGTCCTTTATTTTCTTCCAATTCTGAAGATTTTCAAAAATAATTACATAATAAATAATAAATACATACATACGATTATAAATATATAAAATATTCTCGATTGCAATTAAACATAAATATGTTATAATTAGACAAGTGTGGTATATCGGTTTATATTGCACATTCTACAATACACAATTAAACATCAATATGTTAGACAAGTGTGGTATATCGGTCTATATTGCACATTCTACAATACACAATACTAATATGGAATTGATAATACTCCTTTTGGATCTGGGTTCAATGTCCACTTTTCTACACCGATAGGGACATAATATGTGTATACGGGACCTCAGGTTTTTGTCCCATCCGAACGACTAGACAGCTGTCCTTGTCCGTCCGGCACCACTCACTGACAAGGGGAGACCACTCCGGAAAATCCCGATAAACTTTCTCCGGAAAGACTGGGAGCGAACCCACGACCTCCAGGCTAGCGAGCCAGGGTCTTACTCAGCCAACGCGGCTCCTTAGGGGCATACGCCAAACTGTATGCTATGAGGGGAATTTTGCCGGACAGCAATTGAATTCCAACTGTCCAGGCCAAAGTGTACACCGAACCCCGTTTTTTGTCCCACCCGAACGACCAGGTGCTGTCGCTCATGTCCTCTGTCTTGTTATATTCCCGTATCTAACAACAGGGGTGGATACAGAGGGGAAGCAGGGGTGCCCCTTACTGCCCTGTACCATGCATAGTTTTGTTGATTTGGTTTAGGGGATTGTTTCGACCGTGTTGAATAAATTAGTTTAGGGGATTGTATTGACCTTGTTGATTTTAGGGCAGTGATTCTTAACTATAGTGTGCCGCAACACCCTAAGTGTGCCGCAAAATTGTTAACGGCACACTAAGAAAATTTCTCACTAAAAAAGCAACCTATATTTAACTGATAAAATTTGAAACAATGCAACAAAGTAAGTTCATAGCTGTGTTTTTCTTTATTTAGTTTGAGTCATTCGATTTGTCTATGTCGGTTGTATACCGTCTATGACTTGCCATGTTTTATTTTGAAAAATTCAAATATTTTTCATATATATTTAGCCAGGTGTGCCGCTATTTTGTCATGTGTTCCAAGGTGTGCCATTGCCAAAACAAGGATGAGAAGCACTGATGTAGGGGATGGGGGGGGGGGGGGTCGGTCCATCGCCACATGGACTGTAGTTCTTTATTATATATAATTAAAATTTACAGATGCAGAAATCAGTGAGTTATTTGTTTCGCCATGTTCACCCCACTTTTTATTAATACACCTGTCTGGGGTTTTACTTACCCCCCCCCCCCCCTTCCCCTTCCCCCTCCCCGAAATATAATACAAGAACGGGTGTATGAACCGATAGGGGAAACCCGCTTATCACGGGTGACGACTGTTGTCAAGGAAAATGTTACCTGTCGTTCAGACCACTGTGGGGTTGAATCGTTCAGTTTGGAATAAAAATCGTTTCACCATCGATGTACACATTGCAGTGCACGAAGAGTATGCGAACACGCCGCTGTCTGGGCAACATTCACCTTCCTAGCACCTGACCACATAAATCGATGCTGAAGTATACGGTTATATTTATTACCAGTTTCCAAACAACACTTTTCCAGTGTGGTTTCCCCGGTGCAGGGCAGATGACTGTGTGGGAATTCGATATAAGAGTGCAGCGTAGCACCGCTGCCCGGGCAAATGTCCCTTATATCACAAACCGTATGACGTACATCCGTCTTCATTATCCCAGTCGGTGCAGGAAAGTAGTACGTTAAGTCACATTTCATTCCAAACAAGAAAAAAACAACATTGCTTGAACACAGAACAGATAGTTTAAGATCTCTCTCTCTCTCTCTCTCTCTCTCTCCCTCTCAGAACAGTTTAAGATATCAAAGAGTCCACTCCAGTCAACCACAAGACTCACCTGGAGATAATACCGACAGGTAGATATATTTTGATTTACTTATCATATATATATATATAAACATTATCACGGTCACGTGAGGTGTAAAAACGGGAATATGAGGTACGGATATACCTGTATTATAATCACGGTCACGTGAGGTACAGATAAACCTGTATAATCACGGTCACTTGAGGTACAGATATACCTGTATAATCATGGTCATGAGGTGTAACTGCCCTTAGCGCTGATTCAAATACAGCTGTCTAGTCACGTGACCGTGATTATAGGGAGAGAGAGAGATGGGGTTTAACGTCCACTCGACACAAACTAGGTCATTTCGGGACTAACATATGGTTTAATTTTATTTCAATAAATCGATTGCGCGTAGGGGTCTTTAGCAGTGGGAGGAAACCGGAGGACCCCCACGAGGTTGGACAGGCGACCCTACTCCTTGTCACGTACAAACGGGGATTCGAAACCATGCCAGTCAACTCAATGACAGACTTTATGATACAGCGCGCGCACGCTAACCATTCAGCCATCCAACCCCCCGTGGCCGTGATTATACAGGGATATCTGTACCTCATATCTAGTCGTTCGGATGGGGCGGAAAACCGCGGTCCCGTGTACACATTGGCGTGTACGTAAAAGATCCCTTGACAGTTGGAATTCGATATAAGAGTAGGCCGTAGTGCCGCTGTCCTGGCAAAATTTTCCTCATAGCACACTGTATGGCATATGCCTGTCTTCATCAGCTCAGTTCGGAGCAGAACAGTAGGACGTTAAACCCCATTTCATTTCATTTCTTTAGCAGTGGGGGGACATCGGTGGATCCGGGAAAAACCCACGAGGTTCAAACCTCTTGATAAAGATACCTGTAAAAGTATTGAAACGTTGTATGTAATAAACCCAGAAGTAATAAATCTATAAAGTTGTGTTATTATGAAGTAACTCTGTTGGTTATAACTATCTTATTATAGAGATGAGTCACCGACCAGTCGACTTGCTGAATGTCATGACGTTTGAAAAGAGATGAGAGGGGGAAATGGGGTTTAACGTCCACTCGACACAAACTAGGTCATGTCGGGACTAACATATGGTTTAATTTTATTTCAATAATTCGCTTGCGCGTAGGTGTCTTTAGCAGTGGGAGGAAACCGGAGGACCCGCGGAGAAAACCCACGAGGTTGGACAGACGACCCTACTCCTTGTCACGTACAACCGCCGGGGAATCGAAACCACGCCAGTCGACTCAATGACAGACTTTATGATACAGCGCGCACACGCTAACCATTCAGCCATCCACCTCCCTCCCACCCCCTGAAAAGAGATGACGTAATGAATAAAATAAAATGGATGGATGGATGGATGAATGAAGCATGATACTGAGAGTTTTATATTATTCTACATAGATATGTTGTTGATGTTTTTATGGTCTATATAATTAGTCTACATTAATATCAACTTACCCTATGAATACTTAAAAAAAAGATTAAATTACAACTACTATATTTATATCATATTTCAATATTGTTTTTCAGATGTTTGTGACATGGTGGGCTCTTTTACTAACCGGCGTTGTCTCCCTTGAGTATAACGCGTTGACACATATCCTGCGATATCAGTTAGGTGGAAGTGGACGTGAAATAAGCTATTCTGGTGGATGTGGGGTTAGGGTGGCCTGGTGGTATTGAGTGACGTGATTCGAACTCTAATGGCCGATCACCTCTGTCTTGCGGTCGTCGTTTCGATCCCTGGTGTGAGCGTATTTAGCTTAGAGTGTTAGCTTGGAGCTTATTTGGCTTCTATCAAGAATTGGCTTCAAATCCCGCTCAAAACTTTGTATTCGCGCGGAGATACTCCAAGCTATAAAAATTATATTTTTAGAAGCCATGTTTGTCATTTAAGTTGATTGAGGGGCGAGGGGGTGGGGGGCATTCTTGAGAATGTATTTGTCATTACTTAAAGACCCAATACCACTCTTGTTGTAACTGAATAATATGTCCTAATCTTTATTCTGGTCAACAAATTGTACTATTTTACAATATTCCAATTAATTGATGATACAAATTTCATCTTAACACACCTAATTTAAAATTGGAAAAATTCAACTAAATGATTTGAAAAGCCTGACGTAAAGCTTTTCAAATGTGACTTGGATTTAAAAATATTTTTGAACCCTTTGGACAAGTAAAATAGGATTTAATGGATAATTTACACAACAAACAAGTAGGACAATAACACATCTAATACTTAGAATAAGGCTATTTTTTATTTTCTGGAGCTGTCAAGCCAGCAAGAGTGTTATTGTCCCTTTAATGTACATTTACCTTACATATTGAAACCTAAGTAAATTCTTGAATTATTATCTGCTGTTTAATTGCAGAGTCTGTTATACATTTACACCCATCAATGTTCACAAAACCGCCTAACCATTCAATCAAGAAATAACAACCGCTCCCTAAGTCAAGCTGGTAGACAAGCCAGTTGCCAGTTAGTGATACCCTAACATTCTTGCCCAGTGCTCGCCCCGTAAGTGCTTTTAAGGTAATCCAGAATTTTTCTAGCAAGATTGTTTTTCGGGTAATCCATAATTTTACTGGTAATATTTGGCTTATATGCTTTCCATATATACCAAACGTGCCATACTTTTATTAGAAATGACCAACCGATAAATACTTTCGTAAGAATGTATCTTTAAGTATTTGGGATTTTCCCCTTCTATTTTGGCATTGTTTGTTTACCTCATTAATTCATTTGGTCGCCGATGCATAATTTTGAGACTGACAGCAATTATTTTGAAACCCGAGTATTTTTTCCCTGGGGTGTCACCCCCCCCCCCAACCCCCCACATTTACGTCCCTTCACACGTGCTCGTGTAAATAGCCCTTCGGATAGCACAAAAAACAACCAGGAACGGTGCACATAAACGGTCATCTCTTGGCAGACAAAATGGGTGGTGGGTATAACTGTCGCTTCATGCGTAACCTTTGTAAATGAAAACTGCATTAATCTCAGAGAACCGAATTATTGTATTAGTAGTTATAAATACAAAACAACAGATTAAAAACATTTTATTTATTTAAAGATTGGTGGTTTCCCCTTGTCAGTGATACAGGACGGAGGGCCTGACAAGGACAGCTGTCTAGTCGTTCGGACGGGACGAAAAACCGAGGTCTCGTGTACACATTGACGTGCACGTAAAAGATCCCTTGGCAGTTGGAATTCGATACAAGAGTAGGCCGTAGCGCCGCTGCCCCGGCAAAATTTCCCTCATAGCACACTGTATGGCGTATGCCCGTCTTCATTAGCCCGGGTTAGGAGCAGAACAGTAGGACGCTAAACCCCATTTCATTTCATTTCATTTCATTTATTTAAAGATTGAATTTTTAAATTTCCATCCAAGATGTAAAACATTTAATCACAAGCTACCGGCTGCAAACGCTGCATTAAACAACAATAATTAATTGATCATTTTCTAGTTAAAGCAATTTAAATAAACCCCAGTCAACTGGATTTCTATTTTCCACGTCTATAAATAAACATTTAAATAAGTATTAATCTAAAGAATGTAAATTTCTACTCTTGTGTTGACATTTTAAATCCCCATTTCCAATGTCTATAAATAATAGTTTAAATAAATATTAATCTATATAATGAATCTACATTTCTACTCTTGTGTTGACATATTAAATCCAATTCTGTTTCTAGGTATTCTAATTCTTACAGGTGAAATCACTGCGCAGGTACAGTAATTAATCTTGACACCTTTCTGTTTTTATATAAATTTAAATTGATTAAAAGAGATTGTTATATAAGAACACAGACTATTATGGGTAATTAGTTGGCATTAAGAATACAACATGCCTTGTTCCTGATTTATTTATCATAACGACATATATACATAGCACATCCGTCTCTCAAGCGTTCACAGGATATGACGTCAATACAATATATAAATAACTTACAATAAAATATTAAATATATACCTTCCCTCTACAAGACCTTTAGCTTGTCTACGATATCACCCTTTAGTTACAATAGGATATGACATCAATAAAATATAATATATAAATATATCTATATAACTTGTACAATAAAATCAAATATATTAATATCTATTTAACTTGTAAAGCTTCCATAAGATTTGTAATATAACCGTATAATAAGAACTATCAACATAAAAAAAACAAGTTAGCATAGCAAGGGGGGTTTATTCAACTGAGGCTCCACTGTTTCTTATAGCAAGAGGGGGTTTATTCAACCCAGACACAGCTGTTTCTGATAGCAAGAGAGGGTTTATTCAACCGAGGTACCACTGCTTCTGATAGCAAGAGAGGATTTATTCAACCGAGGCACCACTGCTTCTGATAGCAAGGTTTATTCAACCGAGACACCCCTGTTTCTGATAGCAAGAGGGGGTTTATTCAACCGAGACACCGCTGTTTCTAATAGCAAGAGGGGGTTTATTCCAAAGGTTTGGAATGTGATAAGACAAGGTTTTTCTATATACCAAGAAATAACAGCTATCGTATTCACTTCATCGGTTCCTTGAAGGCGTGTTTACTTTTAATATGGCAGATGTATTGACAGAGTAACATTATTAACATATATTGTAACTAAATAATAAATTCGTAAAACTATGTGATAAATAATAGTTAACATATGTATATTTAAACGTAAGGAATTATTTGACATCCAAATTTTAATTTCATTTCATTAATATATTCTACAAGTGTAACTATTTACTGTCATGGAAATTAACAGATTTAGATGGTTTATTAAAGGCAATATACAATTGTGTGTCACGTTAAACCCCATTTCATTTCATTTCTAACTATTGGTGCTGTTTACATAGTGGACAGGGTTGGGCCAACCGGTCCTTGTGGTACCCCAAACCACACATTTTTGACAACAATAATCTGTCTTCTACTGACAAGACACCGTGTTTAAAAGATAGAGTACCAAACCAGTAATTATAAAGTCAAGACTAAAGCCTACCTAAAAAAATTGTGTAGTGAACCAGGCAAAACGTTGGCGAAAGGTATAATAAAATTAACAATACACGTTTCTTATTGTCAACAGACAGATGATTAAAATCATGAACCATAGTTACACGATGATACAAAAACATTACAAATGATATATAGGTAAATACAAAAATATTACAAATGATATTTAAATCCTAAATATACATGTAATAAGATTAAATATATTGATGATATATAGGTAAATATAATCATTATTCAGATCATTCAGATCTAACTGATGTATACCTGGTTTAAATATAATAATCATTTTTGGATCAATCACAATCATTTTTCAAATCGCTCAGTTCTAAATTATGTTTACATTTGTTTTTATTGATTTTATACCACTATCTTTATCTTGTAAACAAATACAGTAAAAATCATAACGACCAGTCTAATATTCATGTTTATATTTAATACTCAGGTGGGTTAAATGTGTATTATACTTATTATATATTACATATTATGATTTGAATTATACCTTATTATATATTACATATTATGATGTGTATTAGACCTTATTATATATTACATATTATGATTTGAATTAGACCTTATTATATATTACAGATTATGATTTGAATTATACCTTATTATATATTACATATTATGATGTGTATTAGACCTTATTATATATTACATATTATGATTTTGACGGGAAAAGGGTCAACTAAGAATTGAAATTTACATTTAAAATATAAAAACAATCGGAAAATATTGCTTTCAAATCTTCTAAATGCGCAGATTAAGGATTATTATTTATGGATCAAGCTCGTATTATTTTTGAAAACAAGTTATTGGCATATTGGAGTATATATAGTAATACATTCTTTTACATATGCAAACGGACAAATTGTTTAGTTCTGTTCCAGTGCAATAACGCGAAAGAGTAAATTCATCATTTAATTTTCGGCTTTTTGAATTTTGTTGAGTCTAAAACTATTTGTAAATATGAAGTAATACGGAGCTATACCATGCAATTGTTAAAAGTATCTTTTGAGATAGTGACATTGAACCTTTTCGTATGGATCAGGTAAACATTATGAGTGAAACTGAAATAACTGAAAACTTTGTTATTTTTGACGCGTCTTCATTAGACCTCGTTAGATATAATTCAAATATTCTCGAGTAGGAACATATTCTCGAGTATCATATAAATATTAACATATTCTCGAGTATCAACCAGGTTAGATATAAATATTAACATATTCTCGAGTATCAACCAGGTTAGATATAAATATTAACATATTCTCGAGTATCAACCTCGTTAGATATAAATATTAACATGTTCTCAAGTATCAACCTCGTTAGATATAAATTTACATATTTATAATAAGTACTGGATTATGTTCCACGACTCCATTATTTGACAAGAAAACATGGCATTGCTCTTGAGTCACGTAATAAACATTCTGGTGATTTTATCTAATTTAATAATGACCTAACAACACGTACACTTCATGGTGTTTAACATCCACACGACACAAACTAGGTCATTTTGGGACTAACATATGGTTCAATTTTATTTCAATAATTCGAGTGCGCATAGAGGTATTTATCAGTGGGAGAAAACCCACGAGGTTGGACAGACGACCCTACGCAGTGTCACGTACAACCGGGGATATGTTTGAGGGACATATTAATATGGCCAAACTTTCTTTGCACCTTTAGATAAGAGGAAATTGATCTTTTCAGGCTGTTGAATCTTTGTTTTATAACACCAGAGTAGAGCTGTCATATTGTCATCGTCAGTATAATTTACATCATATCCAGCATCATTGACTAAATATTTCACTGTTTCTAATGTACCTAGATAACAGCTATGATGTAATAGATAATTACATTTATCATAGTCATCCTCGTCCTTCAGGACATCTTTATATGGTCGACAAATAGTGATCTTAGCACCTTTTGATATCAGGAATAAAATCTTTTCCATCTGTTGAATCTGTGATGAGAAACAACATAATAATGGAGTAACATTGCCGTTATCTATATGGTGTATATCTAATTTTACTTCATTTACCAAATACTTAACGGTTTCAGTGGTACCTAGAACACAAGCATGGTGGAGTAAACTGCGGTTAGAGTTATCTACTGTATCCAACTCACCACCATTTGACGATAATAACATCAGTTTATCAACAGGGTTAATCTTAGACAAACAACAAAACACTGCTGGTGAAAAACCATTATTGTTTTTGTGATTAATGTCTAAGTTTACTTCATTAACCAAATACTTAACAGTTTCAGTGGTACCACCTAAACAAGCATGGTGTAGTAAACTACAGTTTAAGTTATCTACTGTATCCAACTCACCTCCATTTGACGATAATATCATCAGTTTATCAACAGGGTTAATCTTAGACCGACAACAAAACACAGCTGGTGTACAACCATTATTGACTTTGTGATTAATGTCTAAGTTTACTTCATTAACCAAATACTTAACGGTTTCACTGGTACCACCTAAACAAACATGGTGTAGTAAACTGCCGTTAGAGTTATCTACTGTATACAAGTCACCACCATTTGACGATAATATCATCAGTTTATCAACAGGGTTAATCTTAGAACAACAACCAAAAAATGCTGGCGTCCAACCATTATTGTTTTTGTGATTAATGTCTAAGTTTACTTCATTAACCAAATACTTAACGGTTTCACTGGTACCAAATAAACAAGCATGGTGTAGTAAACTGAAGTTAGAGTTATCTACTGTATACAAGTCACCACCATTTGACGATAATATCATCAGTTTATCAACAGGGTTAATCTTAGAACAACAACCAAAAAATGCTGGCGTCCAACCATTATTGTTTTTGTGATTAATGTCTAAGTTTACTTCATTAACCAAATACTTAACGGTTTCACTGGTACCATGTTGACAAGCATGGTGTAGTAAACTGCGGTTAGAATTGTCTACTGTATCCAACTCACCACCATTTGACAATAATATCATCAGTTTATCAACAGGGTTAATCTCAGACCAACAACAAAAAAATGCTGGTGTCCCACCATTATTGTCTTTCTGGTTAACATTTAACTTCACGTCATTAACCAAATACTTAACGGTTTCAGTGGTACCACGTTGACAAGCACGCTGGAGTAAACTACGGTTAGAGTTATCTACTGTATCCAACTCACCACCATTTGACAATAATATCATCAGTTTATCAACAGGGTTAATCTCAGACCAACAACAAAAAAATGCTGGTGTCCAACCATCATTGTCTTTCTGGTTAACATTTAACTTCACGTCATTAACCAAATACTTAACGGTTTCAGTGGTACCACGTTGACAAGCACGCTGGAGTAAACTACGGTTAGAGTTATCTACTGTATCCAACTCACCACCATTTGACAATAATATCATCAGTTTATCAACAGGGTTAATCTCAGACCAACAACAAAAAAATGCTGGTGTCCAACCATCATTGTCTTTCTGGTTAACATTTAACTTCACGTCATTAACCAAATACTTAACGATTTCACTGGTACCACCTAAACAAGCAAGGTGTAGTAAACTACGGTTAGAGTTAACTACTGTATCCAACTCACCACCATTTGACGATAATAACATCAGTTTATCAACAGGGTTAATCTTAGAACAACAACAAAACACAGCTGGTGTATAACCATTATTGTCTTTCTGGTTAACATCTAACTTCATGTTATTAACCAAATACTTAACGGTTTCACTGGTACCATGTTGACAAGCATGGTGTAGTAAACTGCGGTTAGAATTATCTACTGTATCCAACTCACCAACATTTGACGATAATATCATCAGTTTATCAACAGGGTTAATCTTAGAGTGACAACAAAACACTGCTGGTGTCCAACCATCATTGTCTTTCTGGTTAACATTTAACTTCACGTCATTAACCAAATACTTAACGGTTTCACTGGTACCTTGTTGACAAGCAGGGTATAGTAAACTGCGGTTAGAATTATCTACTGTATCCAACTCACCACCATTTGATGATAATATCATCAGTTTATCAAAAGAGTTAATCTCAGAACAACAACAAAACACAGCTGGTGTCAAACCATTATTGTCTTTCTGGTTAACATCTAACTTCGTGTTATTAACCAAATACTTAACGGTTTCAATGGTTCCACGTCGACAAGCGTGGTGTAGTACGGTACGCTTTTGATCATCGACAACTTCAAAATTAGCACCTTTCTTAAACAAATATTTGATTTTTTCAACTGAATCAACACATTCTTTTAATACATTTACATCAATAAGTTCGATGTAGCTTTTGTCTGTAATTAAAATATCAAAGACTTCCTTGAACGTTTTAATATCATTTAACATAGTCGCTTCAGTCATAAATGGCTGTCTTAGTTTGTCTTGTATATCTAAATGAGTTAAATTTTTAATTAAATATTGGAGGCATTTAGTATTTACAACTACAAGCGCTTCTAAGAATGGAGTTCGCCCCTCTTTATCGGGATCATTATCAGGACATCCAGCTTTTATTAACTGACGAAGAACATCACTGGAATCGATATCATTCCTTCTACCTTGAGCAGCACAAGCTGCATGGCTGGGTAATCTCCCCATGTTATCTCGTTCAACCACAGAGGCACCATTTTCTATTAAGATTGATACAGTTGCTGTTTTTCCCCTGCCTGCGGCCAGCTGAAGTGGTGTGCAACCATCTTTGTCTTTAGCATTTAAATCAAACCCCTTTTCTACGAGAAAATTAATTATATCGCTAACATCGTGGATAGAATCACAAGCGTTATGAAGAATCGTTCTTGACTTGTTATCTAGTGATTTTATATCAAAGTTTGTATGTTTAGTATCAACATGTTCAATAACACTTAAGTCACTAGAATATACAACAAAGTGTGGCAATGTTACTAGGTCATCATATTTTAGGGCTTTCAATAAGAGATCAAGTTTTTCAATAGGTTTAATTTTTGAAATAGCACCTAGACTGATCACATCCCACCCAAATTTGGTTTTCTTGTCAACCAGTTTAGGTAAATTGTCTTGAAAATATAAGAGAATTATTTTAAGGCAGTCGATGTCACCGTAAAGGGAAATATAATGCAAAAAATATCCCGATTCTTGTATAGCGTTTATTTCACCTAAACTGAGGTGGTTAATGTGACGCAAAAAATCGTCTACATCATTACTCTTAAGAAACTTTGTTAAGAAACTGCTATCAAGAAACGCAGAATGGGTCAAAATAACATCGTTTTTAACCTGCAGTTCCCTAATAAAACGAAAGGTCAGTTCGTCATAATTGTTGATGACAATGCACTGATCTGCTGGTTTTGTACTTACAACTGTCATCAACAGTTCAAAGGGACAATATTCTAAAGCCATTTTAATGAAATTTTTTGTAAAATGAGTTAAGAACGGCACCTCAACAAAATCCCGCAATGAAATCATTTTCATATAATTATTTTCAAAAAAGCGAATAAACGTTTCTGAAAGGTCCTCGACTTTATCGCGAGCTTTACATAATTCAAACTTTCTGTAAATTTCTTTCTCGATTGCCTTAATAACTTCCTTTACTTTATCATTGGGACGTTCTAGGTCTCTCATCGGCACATTATGTAAACAGAATACCATACTTAATGCTGTGTATACGTCTTTATTTACATCCCAAAAAATTTTTAACTCTTGCAACATGAAATCATGGGAAGATTTGAAATCCGTCGGTAACTGACCACACGTTAAACCTTTCCTGACAGAAGAGGCGATAGCCGGAAAACCAAAGTATTCGTCGGTTTTTAAAATACTGATAATTTTATCCTCGTGTACTTTATAAAATTGCAGTATTTCTTCTTTTTCATCATAGTTTAAGGAAAATTCACCGGAATGAAGTTCAAGTTCTGTTTGGGTAGAAAATATTTCGTACTTATCTAAATGACACTTAGAAGACTTATAAATATAATCCCTCATAATGTAAATAAAAACTAGCTGACCCCTTTCTTTTCTAATTCGAAAATTTTCAAAATGTTTAGGCCATTGATCCTTACGATCCTTCAATGTATTATATTTACCATAGATGTCATCTAAGATTAACAAATACTTATCATCCTCAAAGTTAACTTTATTTAAATCACTTGGCTCATATATCAGCAATGGTGTATACTGTTGGTTCTTTGCAATAAATTCTTTGGCGATCATCTTCGAAAGCGTGCTTTTACCATCGCCAGCCGCTCCTATTATACCCAAGACTTTCAGTTCCTTCAGTATCTCCAAACCTTTAGCATACGCTCGGGTCTTCACATACTCCTTTTCATTCACCTCAGTAAGGCTGGCAATGGTGTTGTCTGAAAAATATGTAATAATATTATAAGCAACGTACGGAATTTAATACATGGTAGATTGTGAGGATTGTAGAGATTTTTGAAGATTAATAAGTTAAATTCACTATTGTAATATTGTTCAAGACATCTTGTTGCTGGTTAGGTAAATTTAAGTTAACATCTGTTCAATGTACCTTTCAGAATCCTCAGTTCTGGACTATCTCTATTCTTCTCACCTGTAATAAAATATAAACAACAGGTTAGCCAGTCCCCGATTACTAGCCATGTCTATTAGTGGGAAACCATGAATGTCTAAAATATTTTAAAATTTATCCTATGATAATACTTTTCATTTCTTCACACTTTCTTTTCGGATTAACATTATATTCAAAAAGCACACGTGATGCCGATATAAAGTAATGTTAATCCATGTCCAGATTGTGAGGATCAATATTCGGAAACATTATCTTTAGGGTTTACGAGGACCTGCAGACTATTAAAATTTTAAACAAGCAGTTGCCATGCAAGATACACCCACATTTTGCTAGCGATGCACAGAGAATAAGCTAAAAAAAAAGAGGCGGTTTTTCGTACAATCAGGGACCGTAATCAAGGAAGCGACAGTCCGACATGCGCGAATATCGAAAGAATCCAAAGGGGTCGAACTCAGATGCCGTTATGGTGTAACGGTTAGATATATAAACTTTTTTTGAAATCCGATACAAATTGTGACCTCTGGAACGTTGTACAAGCAAAAGTGCGATATTTTGTAAATCAGGGGACATAATCCAAGAGCGGACAGTCCGATATGCGTTAATATCGACAGGAACTGGGATCTTTTGGATATAACCATATAAACATAATCCAAGAAGTTACGGTCAGATATGTGCGGATATCAAAAGGAGCCGAGATCTTTGGGTCATCAAATACATTTCAAGTTTCGCCAAAATCGGATAAAAATTGTGACCTCCAGAGTGTCCACAAGCTAAAAACGTGATATTTCGTACAATCACGGGCCATACTCCATGAAGTTACGATCCGATAAAGGTCAATACCGACAGAAAACGAGATCTTTGGGAGATAAACCTATATTTCAAGTTTCGTCAAAATCGGATAAAAATTGTGACCTGTAGAGTGTCGATAAAAAAATTTTGGACGGACGGACAGGCAGAAAGGGTGAACGACGATATACATCCACGTGAAAATGTGGGCGTATGAAAATGAAAAGTGTAAAGAAGAATGGAATGGAATCCAGCATGGAATATTGTTAAATACTTACCCAACCGATTGACTAAATCTGTGATTTGTTCCTCTTGAAGAATTTCACTCAGCTAAAAAAGCAAAACGAAAGAAACTTAGCTATTTGTGTTTAAAACACATAATTTTATAGGCATTTTGGCGGCGTAACAGTAATAGTTTAATTTAGTAATAGTTTGTTGATAAAATTGCTTCAGTCTTTTTCGAAAATGCGATTGAAACGTTTATCCTACCGTGTATCTCTCTATGTTTGCAAAAATGCAGGATGTTAAATCCCATTTCATTTGATTTCATATGTCTATAATTTGTATCATTTGCTTGATAAAGACGAAAGTTTCCACTTAGTATTTAACTCAGTAATTGTGTATCCATAAAATGTAAATTTGTGTTGATATAATATTATATCTATCTGTCAGGTGTTGGTTAGATGGGTAAATTCTGGTAATTAATCCACGTATAGTTATTGATAGTTTCTGATCAATAGACAAGAATAGAAAATAACTTACATATTCTATGTTTGAATGTGTCTTCAATCTATTAATTTTAAAATCACCGCCATCTTTCATGTAATCTATAAGAACAAGTAACAAATAACAGGTTCTGTTTTATTTCTTATATAAATATTGTGGCTACTTTGACATTATATGATTGTTATGGGTTTCTCTAATTTAAGAAAACTTATTAGCTGTATACTACAGATTCATTAATTTTGTTTAATGAATTTGGGGTCTGACGTAAAAAGTAACGAACTGAAAGTTTTTTTTATTAAACTTAAGAGCTAATTTGACAGCTTAATAATTTTCCGGGTGGAAACATTCGTCTTCTTTATTCAATTGGCAAAAAAATAAATGAGTGAATGACATCGGGAATTTTTCGTGATGCCCGACTCGCAAACGATTTGCGACGAACTTGAAGTGTGAAACTCCTTCAACACGTTTTTAACGATACTGCGGGTTGTGCCTTCATTTTTCTCGAAAACGGATATTGAAAATATCGTCGTCATGTTTAAAACTACGCACCACAGACATAGAAGCAGAATCATTTCGTGGGAATGGACGTGTATTCGTCTGCAACCATTTTGTTGAGAAGCGACACCTATGACGCTTTCGTCTTGATCAACCAGTTTCAATAATGAATCAAACTATAGCCATAGTAAAGGGAAATAACTCTCGTGATATATTTCAGGTTGACACACAAAATAAAATAAAAAGATCGTGGAAAAGTGCAATAAAATAATTTAAGTCGGGGGTGGTTTTAGTTAGTCGGTCGCGTTAGGCGAAACAAAGATATTTTTAAGGTCAGCCTTATGCAAGAGCTAAATCTGCCTATTGCAGGTCTTTGTTTAGGCCTGAAATGTTTTCTAAATGATTAATTAGACATTAATTAACTGATCCAGGCCATAATCAACTCTCGATGGCATCAGATTTCTCTGATATTAAAAAGATTATAACGGTTTAGCCATATTTTGATTTAATTTAAAAATAGAGGAGCGAGACTTAGCTTCGAACAACCAGTACGGTGGTTGAAATTATTGCAAACGTCTTGTCAAGCCTTCAAAGGCTAATATCTTCGCTCGCAATAGAGTAATTTAAATCAAATTTTCGAATTATTCATTTTACATTATCTATTTTGGAACTGTTATAGCAAGAATGGCTAGCTCTTTATCTAAATATGACATAATGTCTCTTTAAGGAACATGTTAGTATTACTATGATTTGGATGATCGGGATCGCCATATAAAACTAGGATAATAGTGGAGTATAATTTATAGAACTGTTCTTGAGTCAAAATAGGCTGAACATATGAAAACAAAACTATGATAGTTATCTTTGTGCAATCACACAATGAATGAAACGTTTATTTCCCTAGCACCCAAAGCAGCACTCAATACATTGTCTGGTGGCTCATGTGGTGGGCTGGGGGTGGTCGTCACCCGAGAGGAGAAGTTATGATACCTAGTATTTCTAGACCGAGGGTGGGGGGGGTGTTCAAGAGGTCCAATGCCGAAAAATTGGTGGGAAATGTGACAATGTTGATATAAATAATGATCATCTTATAGAATAGTAAAATATTAATTTATAGTATCTAAAGAAGTGTTTATGATGCCTTCATTTTTGGTTTACGAGGACCTGCCAAATATTACAATTTTAAACAAGCGGTTGCCATGCATTATACGGTCACATTTTACTAGAGATTGACAGAAAACATGTTAAAACGATTTGCATACAATCTGGGGCCTTAATACAGAAAGTTAGGGTCCTATATGCGCATATATTTTAAGTTTCATCAAAATCGGATAATAATTGTCCACAACCTTGATATTACACTGTTAAAAATAATAAGGTAGTTTACACCAATTAGGGTGGAAACTAGTTGCCACACCTAAATAGGGATAACTCCTAGCCTTTAGTGGTTTAAACCGATAACACCCAACTAGTGTAGAACATTAAACCATTTCAGATGGAAACTAGTTGCCACTTCCAGTAGTGTAATCTGCCTGATGCACTCAAACATTGTAATGTTACACTTAAATAGTTTACACCCGTCACACCCGTGGGTGTAGATTAAGCATTACCCCCAAGGATGTTTTTGTAAATTACATTTCCATTTTAATTAGAACACCAACACAGGTGTAATTTGTTTTGTTGGATATTTATTTCAAGCCAACGACTTCCAAGTTCAGAAAACTTGAAATTGGCTATAGGTCTCTATGATAATTAGCATAGGGTGGCTACTTCGCGTAATTTTACGACATTGAACTGACAAATAGGCCTATCCATCAGACTGATTCAGATTCAACTGCTGCTGGGCAACATATTATACTTTACCATTTCATTTAAAAAAAAATATTCTGGGCGAAGTTATCAGTGATTGAAGCTTTGATAAGAATAGCGTAGTCTTGATTTTTATTGCTACCATTGTTACGATAACAGATTAAATATCAAATTAAATTATTAAATGACAAACGTGTTTAAATACATTAAGGCACTGGCTCGGTAGCTTGGAGGTTCTGAGTTCGATACTTGTGCGGATGGATAAAAGACGTGTGCGTGGCAACGTCTTGTGTACATATTAAAGAGCACGTAAAATAGTTGTTGGCAGTTGGATTTTGATAAAGGAGTAGGCTGCAGCGCCACTGTTGGGGCAAAATATCCATCAAAGTTATTGCCAACTGTTTGGTCTATGTCTGTCCTCATTGGCCCAGCCGGAGCAAAACAGTAGGAATATTATTCGCCAATTCATTTTATTTCATTTTCAATACATTAACAATCATGACCATCCAATTTCTATCGACTTGTGTATGAGTAACTCAGCAAACATCAGCAGACGCCAATACCCTACACTTAGCCTCGACTGTATGACAAAGTCTGCCATTGGAACTACTTTCAAGTTCCCGGATTACCAACGGCGTCGCCCATGACAAAGCCTTTGAAAATAGATTTAGCATACAAAGCCTTCAATGTCTGGAGGTGTTTTTTGTTTTCTCTAGTTTATCCGATTTTCTTTAAACAACTTTGCACTGAAAATTCTACACACTCTTCGAAAGACGCAATTTTGAGAACTTCTTTCTTGAAGCGGCAAGTTCTCCCAATAAGTAAACCGGTGTAGGTACATATCACTTACTGTCATACGCCGAGGCTAAATGTAGAGTACCGGAATCTGCCGAGTCGGGTATGGGCTGGTTATGATTTAGGGGAGCCAGATTGAAGTCTATCTAAGAGCAATTAAACTATATCAATGGTGTTGAACCCACAGACTACCTCATATTGGTAAAATGACTAGGTCTGTCAGTTAATTCTAGTTTGCAGAAAAAACTGTTGTTGTCCAAATTTTTAAATAATCTAATTGTAACAGCTTTTTAAGAACTTGAAGGGGGGATTCCTCGTGAATTTGAGGTGGGGGTGACGATAATTCTTGAGGATGTTCTGATCAAAACTGGTTTAAATATAAAAACCAGCGGCTGTCAGGCAGGATCCACAAACACGATTTTTTGTACAATCAGGGGCAATAATCCAGAAAGTTATGGCCTGAAATGTGCAAATATCAAAAAGAACTGAGACCTTTGGGATATAAAGATATATGTTTTAAGTTTCATCAAAATCGGATAAAAATTGTGACCTCTAGACTGTCCACAACCTTCGTATTACACACGGCCATTTGCGTACAAAGAGCGGTCGGGCAGTTTCATTTCGATTTTCCCAAAAATCAAATTCAACCTTCATTATGTTGGAATGGTGATGTATTTAAACGGTTTTAAAAATAAAAAAAAAATTGTGACCTCTAGAGAATTCGCAAGCTAAAAATGTGATTTTTCAAACAATCAGGGGCCATAATCCAGGAAGTTAAGTTCGGGAATCCGCGATTATCAAAGGGAAGCCAGATCTTAGTGTGTAATGATGTTCACACTTTTTTAAATCGAATAACAATTGTGACCTCTACAGGGACCACAACCTTCGAATTACACATTTCTACACAATTTGTGTACAAAGAGCGGCAATTTTTTGTCGGGCAGTTTCATTTCGATTTTCCCAAAATACGAATTCAACCTTCATTATCTTTGGGTTATAAACATGTAATTCAAGTTTCATCCAAATCGGATCAAAATTGTGACTTCTAGAGAGAGGGTCCACAACTTCAATATACCAGATGTTTACACTATTTGCGTAAGCTTACCCTATATTTGTACAATCAGGGGCCATTATTCAGGAAGTTATGATCCGATATGTACGAAAACAGAAAGGAACCAAGATATTTGGGTGGGTTATAAACATGCATTTCAACTTTCATCAAAATCAGATAAATATTGTGATCTCCAGAGGGTCCACAACCCTTATACACAATATTGTGACACTATTTGCGAACAAGGGACGGCCATTTTGTCCGTCAGTTTCGGTCCAATTTTTACGAAATTCGAACTCAACCATCCTTAGGCTGTAACGGTGATATATTCTAACGTTTTTTTAAATAAGATAAAAATTGTGACCTCTATGGGTTCCACAAGCTAAAAACGTGATTTTTCGTATAATCAGGGGCCATTATTCAGAACGTTATGGTCCGATACGCACGAATATTGAAATGAACTGAGATCTGTGGGTTATAAACATGCATTTCAAGTTTCATCAAAATCAGATGAAAATTGTGACCCTCCAGAGGGTCTACAACCCTGATACACAATATTTTAACACTATTTGCGACATGGGGCGGCCATTTTGTTTGTCAGTTTCGGTCCGATTTTTAAGAAATTCGAACAACCATCCGGTGATATATTGTTACAGTTTTTAAATCGGATAAAAATTGTGACCTCTATGGGGTCCACAAGCTAAAAATATGATTTTTCGTACAATCAGCGGCCCGATATGCGCGAATCTGTGGGTTATAAACATAAATTTCAAGTTTAAACCAAATCGGATAAAAATTGTGACCTCTACAGTATACACAAGCTAAAACATTATTTTTCGTACAATCAAGGGCCATAATCCATGAAGTTACAGTCCGATACATGCCAATATCGATAGGAACCGAGATCTTAGGGTGATAAACCCATATTTCAAGTTTCATTGAAATCGGATAAAAATTGTGACCTGTAGATTGTTCACAAACAATTGTGGACGGACGGACAGATTTTTGGACGGATGGACAGGGTCGACAACAATATACGTTCACATGAAAATGTGGGCGTATAAAAACAACACACCAGCAGTGAGGCTGATGACCCCCATCGAAATACCAAATTTTAACATTCTACCTTAATAAGAAGGAGGGCTATTGTTTTCCAATATCTCGACCAATCAGATTAGAGTTTTTACTTTGCCTAAGCAGGAAATGCTCAGTATCGAACTTTGTTAAGGCATTGATGTAATGAAACTTGAACTAAGTTTCATCATTATCACTCAATTAGAATCAAAGTTGTCAAGCTCCAAAGTCTCGACCAATCAAATTGCTTATCACTCTGCTTACCAGGAGCCGAAAATACTCATTATCAAACTTAGTCAAAATATTGATGTAACGAAACTATACACCAAGTTCCATCAAGCTCACTTAATTAGAACCAAAGTTATCGTGTCCCAAAGCATTAACCAATACATTGCTTATCTCTTACCCTAAGCAGAAAATGCTCATCTTCGAACTCCATAAACACCTTCACCAAGTTTGAACATTCTAGTTCAATTAGAAGGAGAGTTATTGTATCATAACCAAAATGTGTGGCAGACAGACAGACGAGCGGGTGGACAGATCCATTAAATAAACCAGTACCTGCCAGATAGGATACGTCCACCCACATTTTGCAAGAGATGGATAGAAAACAAGCTAAACAAAAGGCGATTTTTCGAACAATCAAGGGCCATAATTCAAGAAGTTATGATCCGATATGCACAAATATCAAAAGAAAGCACGATCTGTGGGTTATAAACATGTATTTCAAATGTCATCAAAATCGGATTCAAATTATGACCTCTTGATATACCATATATTTACACTATTTGCATAGAGGGATGGCCATTTTATCCGGCAGTTTCGGTCCGATTCTCACGAAATTCAAATTCAACCATCATTAGGGTGTAACGGTGATATACTAAAATATATTTTTGAATCAGATAAAAACTGTGACCTCTAGAGGGACCACAAGCTAAAAACGTGACTTTTCGTACAAACAAGGGCCATAATTCAGGAAGTTACGATCCGATATGCGCAAATATCAGAAGGAAAGAAGATCTGTGGGTTATAAACATGTATTTCATGTTTTATCAAAATCGTATCAAAATTGTGACCTCTAGAGGGTCCACAACCTTGATATACCAGATGTTTACACTATTTACGTACGAGGGGCGGCCATTTTGTCAGACAGTGTTAGTCCGATTTTTATTTAAACTCAACCAACATTACGGTGTAACGGTGATATATTCGAACGTTTTTGTAAATCAGATAATAATTGTGACCTCTAGAGGGACCACAAGCTAAAAACAAGATTTTTCGTACAATAAGGGGCCATAAATCAGGAAGTTAGAATCTGATATGCGCAAATATCAAAAGGAACCAAGATCTGTGGGTTGTAAACATGTATTTCAAGTTTCATCCAAATCGGATCAAAGGGGCGTCCATTTTGTCTGGCACTTATGGTCCGATTTTCACGAAATTCGAACTCAACCATCATTAGGGTGTATTTTGTCTGTCAGTTTTAGTCCGATTTTCACGAAATTCGAGAGAGAGAGGGAAATGGGGTTTAACGTCCACTTGACACAAACTAGGTCATGTCGGGACTAACACATGGTTGAATTTTATTTCAATAATTCGCTTGCGCGTAGGGGTCTTTAGCAGTGGGAGTAAACCAGAGTACCCGGAGAAAACCCACGAGGTTGGACAGCGACCCTACTCCTTGTTACGTACAACCGGGGAATCCAAACCACGCCAGTTGACTCAATGACAGATTTCATGATACAGCGCGCACCTGCTAACCATTCGGCCATCCAATCGAAATACGAAGTCAACCATATCCAGAAAGTTATGGTCTGAAATGCTCAAATATCAAAAAGGACTGAGACCTTTGGGATATAAAGATATATGTTTTAAGTTTTATCAAAATCGAATAAAAATTGTGACTTCTAGATGGTCCACAACCTTCGTATTACACACAGCCATTTGCGTAAAAAGAGTGGTCATTTTGTCGGGCAGTACCATTTCGATTTTCCCGAAAATCAAATTCAACCTTCATTATGTTGGAATGCGGAGCTACGGCCCACTCTAATATCGAATTCCAACTGCATTGGCCGAGAAAGTTCATCCAGATTTTCCGGCGTGGTTCTCCCTTGTCAGTGATGCAGGACGGAGGGGCTGACAAGGAAAGCTGTCTAGTCGTTCGGATGGGACGAAAAACCGAGGTCCCGTGTACACATTGGCGTGCATGTAAAAGATCCCTTGGCAGTTGGAATTCGATATAAGAGTAGGCCGTAATGCCGCTGTCGGGGCAAAATTTCCCTCATAGCACACTGTATGGCGTATGCCCGTCTTCATTAGCCCAGGTTAGGAGCAGAAAAGTAGGACGTTAAACTCCATTTCATTTCATTTCATTTCATTTCATTTCATTTCTTTTCGGATTAACATTATATTCAAAAAGCACACGTGATGCCGATATAAAGTAATGTTAATCCATGTCCAGATCGTGAGGATCAATATTCGGAAACATTATCTTTAGGGTTTACGAGGACCTGCAGACTATAAAAATTTTAAACAAGCGGTTGCCATGCAAGATACACCCACATTTTGCTAGCGATGGACAGCGAATAGGCTAAAAAAAAAGCGACTTTGCGTACAATCAGGGTACATAATCCAGGACATGCCCGAATATCGAAAGGGTTCAAACTCAGATGCCCTTATGGTGTAACGGTGATATATTGAAACTTTTTTTGAAATCCGATATAAATTGTGACCTTTTAGAGGGTTGTACAAGCAAAAATGCGATATTTCGTACAGTCAGGGGCCATAACCCAAGAAGGAACAGTCCGATATGCGTTACGATCAGATATGCGCGAATATCGACAGGAATCAAGATCTTTGGGTTATAAACATACATTTCAAGTTCCGTCAAAATCGGATAAAAATTGTGACCTGCAGAGTGCCCACAAGCTAAAATCGTGATATTTCGTACATCCAGAGACCATACTCCAAGAAGTTACCTATATATATATATCAAGTTTCGTCAAAACTGGATACAAATTGTGACCTGCAGAGTGTCACCAAACAAATTGTGGACGGACAGACGGGCGGACAGGGGCGACGACAATATACGTCCACGTGAAAATGCGGGCGTACAAAAATGAAAAGTGTAAATAAAAATAGAATAAGGCGGAATCCAGCACGGAATATTGTTGAATACTCACCAAACAGATTGAGTGAATCTTTGATTTGTTCCGGTTGAAGAATTCCACTCGGCTAAAAAAAGCAAAACAAAAGAAACTTAGCTATTTGTGTTTGAAACACATTTTTGTACCATGATAAAGACGAAAGTTTCCTCTTAGAAACGTCACATAGTAATAAGGTCAGTAATTGTGCATCCATATAATATTCTAATTTGTGTTAATATTCAGCTGTAGAGGTGTTGGTCTGATGGGTATAAATTCTGGTAATTAATCAACGTATAGTTATTGATATTTTTTGATCAATAGACAAGAATAGAAAATAACTTACATGTTCTATGTTTGGATGTGTCTTCAATCTATTAATTTTAGAATCACTGCCATCTTTCTTGTAATCTATAAGAACAAGTAACAAATAACAGGTTCTGTTTTATTTCTTATATAAATATTATGGCTATTTTGGCCTTATATATTTGCCATGTTTTCTTTACTTTAAGGAACATGTTAGAATTGCTATCATGTGGATGATCTGGATCGCCATAAAAAATCAAAGCTAGGGTAATAGTGGGGTATACTTTATACAACTGTTCTGGTGGTAAATTAGGCTGTACATAAGAAAATAATCTATGTCAGTTAATCTTTATTTGGGCAATCACAAATTGGATGAATTTTTTCTACCTGCTTCAGTTTGAAAACTTGCTAAAATATTAGTATTAAATAAATGTTCATTTTCCCAAATCTTCACATAGTCAGGTGGTTTGTGTGTGTGTGTAGAATTTTGGATTCTGTATGTTTATCAGGTCTTTTGAGGGTGTCTTACCATAATACGGATAGTAGGCGTTTAGGAACAATCAGTATAGATTCTTATCAACTTATCCATTAATCAATTAGTCAGTTTTTAGGTTAATTGGTATTATTACTTATTAGCGTACAATTAAATCAGATTACCATTAGGTACACGTAATTAAGTTACATCCCTGGTTTGCCAGCATTAACTTAGCATTGTTGTGTACATGTATATATTGTCCTGTCATATTTTCATTTTTTATCATAGCTTGATAATGACTAGAGAAGCCTAGTCGAAACGTTGCTCAGTAAAAAGCAGTAATTGTATTCCATAGAATTGTGACCTGTATACAGTATAGATTCTGTTTTGTTTTCGTTTAGTTTAAAACGGGTAGGTCCTCCCTGCTCTTTATGTTAAATGACTTGTTACTTCATTCTGAGCAGAGTTTGAAGAACAGTGTAGTCACGATTGCCATTGATACCGTTTTATGATAATAAACATAGTCTGGATTATCCATTTATTAATTAAATTATTAACTGTCAATCATATTAAATCCTTTGAAAATCCAAACCATCTGATAGTCTAGAGAGTTGATTATGGGTTTGGCATGAGAATAAATGTATAATTAATGATTTATATAACGTTTGATACCAACGAAAGATCTGCATTAGACAGATATGTTAGCTCTTACATAATTCGTTACGCTTTACTTTATTTTCCGCATTAGCAATATAAAATATTATACAAAATAAAGGCCCTGGTTGGTGTAAATTATAGTGCAGATTCACATTTCATATGTACACTGTTTTCTAAAATCTGTTCAGCCCCTGGATGTACAACATAAACGGGGACTAAATCGTAATGGCTTCTTTCCTCCACTTTTGATGGATCAATGCCTGAATGACGAAATCAAAACTGCCATTCAAGTTCTAATTCTCAACGAACGCATGCGCACAAACCACTGAGACTTGTAATACATACCTTGAAGCTTCTTAACCAATCCTGTATAACCTTTTTCATTTAAACATTGGATAAATTCATCAAAATATTTCGGGCTGCCCTTTATTATGTCTATTAATTCGGATACACCGTTCGCTGGTTCTGTCTTGGCTATTTGTAATATATTCTTCAATTGATCATCACTAAGAACAAAACGTCCTTTTAAATTCCGTGCCACGCCTTCAATTCCATCCGCAAGTGCAGTTCGTAGAGTTATGCTGTTTTTCGTTAAAATCCTCACGTGGTTTGGCAGGTCACCTAAAATGAAAAACAAATGGTCATTTATTAATGAAACATGCCATAATAAAAGCCAGATCAATTGGGCTTAGATTGATTTTAGTCCTTAGCCAATCAAAATTGAAGTATCTACTAAAATTTGGATTTTTATCTTAGTTAAATTTTCCTGAAACAGGCCCCAGGTCAATTGGGCTTAATATAGTTCAATTTTATTTCAATACTACGCTTGTACGTGTGCAGAGACCGGAGAACCGAGAGACAACCCACGAGGTTGGACAGACAAAGTACCAATCAAATGAAAACAAAGTAATTTTGATTATCTTGTAATTACGAGTTAAATATATCTGAGATACGAGTTATCTCTCTAAATTAAATAAAAATTCATATTTTTGCTCTATAAAGTCCCCTATTATTTTACCGAATCGGTACAACTTTTCAGGTAAATAATGACGCCATAAGTCGTGTGATGTCATGTATTGACTTGTTTATCGTCTACTTACCTGGATCCAGAGGTTCCGCCATTTTTCAACTGTATCTGTGTATGAAAAATAATATAAACATTATTCAACTTATGTAAAAAATGGGACTTAACGTCCTAATAAAGACGGATATACGCCATGAAATTTGTGATGTTGGAAATTTTGCCTGGACAGCGGCGCTACACCCTACTCTTATTGTCACCCGCTCACCGTCAATCTTAAGAAATTATTTGGGGATTTGGGGGGGTGGGTGGCCGAATGGTTAGCACGTGCGCGCTGTATCATAAGGCCTGTCATTGAGTCAACTGGCGTATTTTCGAATCCCGGTCGTACGTGACAAGGATTAGGGTGGCCTGTCCAACCTCGTCGGTTTTCTCCGTGTCCTCCGGTTCCCCCCCCCCCCCACTACTGAAGACCCCTGCGCGCAAGCCAATTATGTAAATAAAATTAAACCATATGTTAGTCCCGAAATGACCTAGTTTGTGTCGAGTGGACGTTAAACCCCATTAATCTCTCTCTTTCTTACGAAATTATATTGTGAATATTAAATATTCGTTCGGTAGGGGATTAGCCAGCAGCAATTCGGGTAATTTGGAATGAATGGGACGGGAATGTACGAAAATAACAATGTCTTCAATAATTCACTTTAATCAAAACATCATCAGGTACAAAGTAATCTCATAAAGAATAATACCTTCTACCAGTCAGACCAGATCAGGTATGCGAAGTCCTACATATTTACATCCAGCTCCAAAAAAGTGAGTGGCATACTCATATCAAATAACATGCATAAATAAAATAACGAACCCCCGCCTCAACTAAAACAAATTACGGGCGAAGAAAATAACACGTATCCTAAGATTTGGGATAACAGAATAATAACCAGCGGCTGCCAGGCAGAATACGCCTACATTTTGCAAGAGATGGATAGAGAACAAGCTAAAATCAAACGGGATTTTTTGTACTATCAGGGGCAATAATCCAGAAAGTTATGGTCTGAAATATCAAAAGGTACTGAGATCTTTGGGATATAAAGATATGTTTTACGTTTCATCAGAATTGGATAAAAATTGCATACTTTTACCCAATTTGCGTAGAAAGAGCTGCCATTTTGTTGGGCAGTTTCATTTCGATTTTCCCTAAATACAACCCTAATTATGATGGAATGGTGAAATATTTAAACGGTTTTTAAAATCGGAAAAAAGTTGTGACCTCTAGAGAATCCGCAAGCCAAAAATGCCATTTTTCGAACAATCAGGGGAGATAATCCAGGAAGTTAAGTTCGGGTATTCGCGATTATCAAAAGGATCCAAGATCTTAGTGTGTAATGGTGATATACTCACACATTTTTTTAAATCAGATAAAAATTGTGACCTCTACAGGGTTCACAAGCTAAAAATGCGATTTTTCGTACAATCAGGGGCCATTATTTATGAACTTACTATCCGTTATGCGCGAATATCGAAAGGATCCAAGGTCTTTTCGTCATAAAATTACATTTCAAGTTGCATCAAAATCAAAAGAAAATTGTGACCTCTAGAGGGTCCACAACATTGATATACCATATTTTTACGCTATTTGAGTAGGAGAGGCGGTCATTTTGTCTGTCAGTTTTGGTCCGATTTTTACGAAATGCGAACTCAACCATCCTTAGGGTGTAACGGTGATATATTCAAACTTGTTTGTTAAATCGGATAAAATATTCTGACCGCTATAGGGTCCACAAGCCAAAAACACCTTTTTTACGAACAATCAGGGGTCATAATTCAGGAAGTTACGGTCCGATATGCACGAATATCGATAGGAACCGAGAACTTTAGGTTATAAACTTACATTTCAAGTTTCAACTAAATCAGAAGAAAATTGGGCCGATTTTCACGAAATTCGATTTCAACCATTCCTAGGGTGTACCGTTGATATACTAAAACATTTTTTTTTAAATTTAAATTTATCAAGCTAACAACGCGATTTTTTCGTACAATCAGGGGCCACAATTCGGGAAGTTACGGTCCGATATGCGCGAATATCGAAAGGAACCGAGATCTTTGGGTTATAAACTAACATTCCAAGTTTCATCAACATAGGATTAAAAGTGTGACTTCTATAGGGTCCACAAGCTAAAAACGTGATTATTCGTACAATCAGGGGCCATACTCCATGAAGTTTCAATCCGATACATGTCAATATCGAAAGCAACCGAGATCTTTTGGAGATAAACCTATATTTCAAGTTCCGTCAAAATCGATAAGAATTGTGACCTGTACAGTGTCTACAAACAAATTGTGGACGGATGGACGGACGTCCTCACGGACAGGGGCGACGACAATATACGTCCACACATGAAAGTGTGGGGGTATAGAAATTCACCATGTACAAACAAAATTACAAAGGTAGTAAATTAAGTAATCTCCCTTTATCAACCCTACGTTCATTCACTCAATAAGTAGAATACAATAAGGATTATCATTTCCGCCATGGTTGAGGCACAGTGAAAATACGAATAGGCACTGCTTCAGAAAAACATTCCAAACAAATATAGACAATAAAAACCTAAAAAAATAATCTACTGCCGACCCCTGCCGATAAAATCAACGGTTTAACCCCACTTTCCCCACATTTGATTGTTTAGATAAAGGATTAGGAGATTAGTAGACCGTGGGTGTATTACTATAGTCTGTTTTAATCAATTAGTATCATTGGTGTAAACTTCTCACTCTAATTATTGTTACTGGTGAACACTTCCCACCATCAGTAGATTGGGCAAATTAGTGAAATCAGTTTACTAATAAATTTACATTGTGTGCTGTTTTGATGTAATAATTAATTTGAAATAAAAACAAATAAACTACTGATATTTAATCACAGCTTATTAGCTGATATATATAGCTCCTCTGAATCGCAAATGGTCATTCCAAAATGGCAAACGCTCTAGTTAACTTTAAATACATTGCTAATACTAAAGGTGGTCAGAATTTAGTGCTAGATGGTTTTAAATTCAGAGTTAAATCTAGACGTAATATTATCATATACTGGGAATGTTGTAAAAAAAATACTGTACAGCTAGGGTTACCATTCGCGATGGTATTCTAGCATCGCCTCTTCCTCAACATGACCACCCTTCAGAGGAGAACAAGATAGTAGTCCAAGAGGTTGTAGAGAAGATGAAGGCCAGAGTCAGAACTGACTGCAGAGCTGTACCTTCTTTGTACAAAGAAGAGCTTCGATGTAAAATAATAATCTTTCGTTTGAAACAATATTTATTATGAAGATTTATAGATTTTTCATTTACAATTACGGAATTATTGGATCTGAAAAATCTTATGTAAACGGTTAAGTGAAGTAAACTTTCATTATTTGGTTATCCTGTCATTGAGAATCTAGTAACACAATTAGTTTCTTTGTTTCAGCCTTCAACTACCGCGAAGGACATAATATGGCGTCAACCGTCCCTACACTATACAGCTTACAAGCCAGTATATACCGGTCCCGTGCCAAGGACGTCCCACCTCTTCCGCTCAGACCGTCAGAAATCAACCTACCACCAACCTACAAATTGTCATCTTCCCAACAACCGTTCCTCCTGTCCCAACAAGATAAGATGCTAATGTTTGCAATACCAGACAACCTGTACCACCTGTCAAGAGCTGACACCTACTCCTGTGATGGCACCTTCTACACCAGCCCTAGCCTGTTTTACCAGCTCTACACGATACATGCCTTTATTAACGATAAGATGTGTCCCCTAGTCTACGACCTAATCCCTGACAAGAAGCAGTCAACATATTTTACTTTCTTCGACACCATCAAAGAGAAGGCTGCAGAGAACAACATCGCCCTTGCCCCCCACAAAAATCGTCACCGACTTCGAAGTTGCCGCCCAAAATGCCACCCGTACTTCATCTGCTTGTGATTTGAAAGGCTGCTTTTTGCATCTCAGCCAGGCAGCGTGGATGAATGCACAGAAGAACGGCCTCCAGACTTTGTTTAAAACTGACCCATCTGTCACCCTCTTCACCAAGCGTGCCCGTGCCTTTGCGCTGGTTCGACCATGTGACATAGAAGATGCCTGGTTTTATGCCATAGAATAATCCGAATCGGAAGATCCCCGAATCAACCAGTTTGCCGACTATTTTACAAAGCAGTGGATCGATGGTGACAAGAGAAATCTGGAACCATTTCGTCACTGTGGGGCCAAAAACAACAAATCATTTGGAAAGTTGGCACTGTAAACTCCAGAAGCTTGGTCCGGGCCATGCAAATATATACAAGTTTCTAGACTTGATTAAGATTGAACAGGAAGATGTAGAACTAACAAGCAGACAAAAAGAATCTGGGGGCAGACTTGCTCCCAAAAGAAGAAAGTACCGCCGCCTTGATGAGAGAATCGTAGAAGAGAAGAATTTATTAATAACTGGTGCCAAGACCCCCATTGAATACCTCAACACTGTTATGAATTTTGTTGGACTGTGAATTGTCATGTTTATCAAAGTGTTTATAAATATTTAAACTATAAAAATGTATTTATTTATTAACTATGTTAAAGTGTCACAAACTTGTTACAGACTATACTTTAAATCCCCTTAAACCCCCGTTGTTGGTTAATTAGTCATGGCAGGGTGGACCTCGACTCTAAACAATAGATGTGGGGAAAGTGAGCTGTCCCCAAATCAACATGCTCCCCTATGCTAGACAATGGGATAAGCACATCACATAAAAAACGACCCGGCATTATTAAACATAATTGGGTACATATAGAATTTATATTAGTAAGGATTCCAAGATTAAATAAGAATAAATCCACCAAATAATCGTGCCTACGGAAATATGAGGGTATACATGAAATGGAAATATTAGAAAGTAGCTGTTCCGGCCACAATATTTTATAGGACAAGCTATAGTTTACTATGGCGGCCACTAGATATAAAAAAAGAATACTCCTAGCAATGAATTCTATTTAAATAAACGAGCGAATGGGTTTGTGTACTAAATCTACAATATCATTGATGTAAGGCGAGACGTTCACAAGCTATTTATTGGCATATGTTGGCTTTGTCAA